AGGGAGAAGCAGGTTCCACGCAGGGAGCCTGATGTGGGACTCGATCCCGGGACTCCAGGATCGTGCCCTGGGCCAAAGGCAGGTGCTAAACCGCTCAGCCACCCAGGGATCCCCAGGTTATAGTATTATACCAGTTTTACTTTCTAAATTTTGATAATTATGATTATGCAAGATGTTAGCATTAGGGGAAGGTGAATGAAACCCTTTGTACTATTTAATGACTTTTCTCTAAGTCTAAAATTATTTCAAAATATGAAGTAAAAAAAGTTGTACATGATGACTCCATCATATCTGATTAGGAATTAAATCCTAGGGATCCCTGGGTGGCGCAGCAGTTTGGCACCTGCCTTTGGCCCAGGGCGCGATCCTGGAGACCCGGGATCGAATCCCACGTCAGGCTCCCGGTGCATGGAGCCTGCTTCTCCCTCTGCCTGTGTCTCTGCTCTCTCTCTCTCTCTGTGACTATCATAAAAAAAAAAAAAAAAAAAAAAAAGAAAAAGAAAGAAAGAAAAGAAATAGTAAAAAAAAAGGAATTAAATCCTAAATTCCATGTGATCTGGTTCCCAGGTACCACTCTGACCTCTTCTCCCACTTTCCTCTCTCTTTGTTCCAGCCACACCGGCCTCTTTGTCAGCCACACAAAGAACAAGCACACAACCACTTCAGGGCCTTCACACTTGTTATTCCTTTGCCTAAAACATTCTTCCCCTACTTATATGGCTGTCTCTCCTAATCTTACTTAGCAAATATGCTTGACTATTACTTCATCAGAGAGGTCTTCCTTGATTTTTCTATATAAAATGTCCCCTTTCCCCATCACGCTCTATCTCCCTTTATTTTTTCTTTCTGGCAGATATCACCACCTGACACACTATATGTTTATGTATTGTTGGTCACCACCACTGAACTGTTGAGCTCTACAAGAGCAAGGATTTCGACTATTTTCTTTTTCTTTTTTTTTTTTTTAATTTTTTTTTTTTTTATTTATTTACGATAGTCATACAGAGAGAGAGAGAGAGGCAGAGACACAGGCAGAGGGAGAAGCAGGCTCCATGCACCGGGAGCCTGATGTGGGATTCGATCCCGAGTCTCCAGGATCGCGCCCTGGGCCAAAGGCAGGCGCCAAACCGCTGCGCCACCCAGGGATCCCTCGACTATTTTCTTTAATGCTATACTTCGTATGTAAAACAGTAATTATTATATAGTAGGTGCTTAGTAAAATAAGATGAATGAATGATTCATCTCAAGCATCGAGTCTTCCAATAAGCTTTACTTGGACCTACCTGACTCCAAAGTATGAGACGCTACTCTTTTTCTTAGTCTCAAGGTATGCTCTGCAGAGCTATTTATCTGGACTTCTCTGTCATTGCAAGCACAAGTAGACTACTAGCAGTGTCTCTCATTTCTGCTTTAGAATTTTTTTATAACAAGTGAAAAAAATTAAGATAAAAGGGAACTATACCATTATGAAGAACCAAATGATACATTAAAATGAAAATGAAATACAAGTTATTTCAGAAAGGTAATTACACATTATTCTGTATCAATCTAATGTATTATTAAAAATATTTATCATATTCAAGATAATTTTAGTTATTAATGAGAATATTCTGAAGCAGTCAATGACTTTAAACATCTATCCATGGAAGAGTAGTAGGTGAACTAAATTTGGATTAAAAGAAAGTTTTACAAAGCTCCTCTTCTCATCACTTTAAAAATACACTTCAATTAAGAAATATCTGATTTTTATACCAATGGCAACAACCACTTTAACCTTTTATATAGCAGATATTAGAACACTTCAAAATTCAGCTAGCATAATGTGAACATGGTACCAATAATCTCTAGATCAGTGGTTCTCAAACTTCAGTGTATATCAGAATCACCAAAAGGACTTTTGAAACACAGGTTGCTGGGCTCTATCTTTCAGTAGGTCAGGGGTGGGGACTGAGAATTTAAATTTAGAAGTCCTCAGTGATGCTGATGCTGCTGGTTTAGAGACTGCAGTTTGAAAACCGCTTACTACTGTAGGCAAAGTTTTTGTGACCTGTTCATTGATATCTAAAATAATACAGTAAAAGCTAAATAACATATGGCTATATTAATATTTTACAAATTAAGAATAATTTGCAAATTGCTGTGGTCAGGCTCCTGCTATACATCACAACCTGGTCACACAAGCAGATGTGATAAGGTGTGATCTTGACCTGGGAAAATGAGTGTTTCAGGAGGATCCCACACCCGAGATGCCATCTGTTGGCGGTATTAATGGATTAACAGGGGAACTTTCTCTGTAGTAGCCTATAGGAATAAGTCCAACTATGGGTCACTTCTGATTTATTTACCATTTTCCACGGTACTTGTGAAAAGACCAATATTATACAACTGACCCTTGAACAACAAAAGGGCTGGGGCACTGACCCCACACATAGATACACTGTCAAAAGTCCATATAACTTTTGAATCCTCCAAAACTTAACTACTAATGGCCTACTATAGACCAGAAGTCTCATTGATGACATAAACAGTTAAGTAACCCATATTTTATATGTTCTGTGTATTACGTAATATATACTGTATTCTTACAATAAAGCAAGCTAGAAAAAAATGGCATTAGGAAAATCTTAAATAAGAGAAAATGCATTTACAGTACTGTACTGAATACATTGAAAAACATCTGCATATAAATGGACCTGCACGCTTCAGCTGTATTATTCAAAGGTCAACTGCACTGCATTAACTATGCTGTCCAAAATTTACAATGGTATCAAGCAGCAGCAACATTATTAACAGTGTTCAAGATCCAGGTTAAAAGTATTTAATAGGGGTTAATAAAGGAAAAGTATTACCAGTTTTCTCATGGTATGAAAGAGTACAAATCACAGAAATTAAATACTAATGTAGCTGAAATAAGAAAAAAAAAGGCAGGATTATGTGGAGACTCTGTATAGATTTATATTACTTTCATAGAATAAAAGGAATAATTATGATGCATATGCACTCAAACTTTAAAAGTGCTGAAAAAAAAAAGTGCTGAAAAGAAACAGCTGAAAATGCCTGAATTGGCTCAGTTGACTCAGTAGAGTAGCATATTATTAAAGTGTTTTATGTGTAAGCATTCTAAAAGAAAGCGAATCCAGGGCTTAAGACTTGAAAAAATAGTAAATCTTAGTAGAAAATATGTGTTTTCTTATAAGAGCTATGGAATTTTATATTATGAGATATCATTCATAGTTTCAAGGTTTGAGCTTAAGTCTACCCGAGGCTGAAGAAAAATGGGGTAAAAATTAAAATTCTTTGATCCAAGAACATATGTCTTAGATTAGTAACACAAATGAAACTGGTTTTTATTGATGCCTTTTTTCTTACCAGGACTTTAAAAAAAAAGTAAATACACAGAGATTTGAGTTTTCAAAAGTGCTGTATTTGTTTTAGTTCTTTGTGATGCTCACGGAAATCTTTAAGTAACTGAAGCAAAAGTCTTTTAATCATTTTATACTTGCTGTAAAAGAAAGCTTCAGAAAAACAAGAATTGCCCAAAGACAGCAATTTATGAAAACATTTCTGAGACCTGCTTCACTGAATATGAATACCTTAATTTGGACAATCAAGTTACAATCCAGAAAATTAACAGGACATATATTATGATACATTCTGCTGGCCAACTAGTGAATTCTCATTGCAGTGTGTGGTAATTTGTTCTTAAAGATATAGTCTGCACTCTTGCACAGAAGAGAATTTAAACTGTCTCCCTATAAGGAAGATGAACCTGGGGAAAACTCTTGTCTGAAGACTATTCAGAAGACAAATATTTCACTGGAAATATATGGTGTTTTGATAAGGCCTGTGCCAGCAAGTTGCCAAGAGGAAAAAAATGGATTAATAATAAAAAATTAACCTAATACTAGGTGGTTAAAAAGTAATTTCAAGAGTCAATAACCAAGACAGGACTCAATCACTAACTTAACCTAAAAATACATGAATTTGGCATTAAAATACAAAATATATAACAATATTTGTCAGATATGGTACATCCAACAGTCACTGCTATTGCAGAAATACTCCATAACAGAATAATTTCTTAGAGGGAAAAAGGTAGCATCAACGAAAGCCAGACATTAGAAATAACAAGATATCAAAGACACTCTTTCAATTTCTCAACTGTCTGAAATACACATGGATCTAGGATACTGTGAATAAAGATATCAATGAAAATGTTAACACTGGCCCTGTAACTGATGACAGTGGAGTACTCATTTGATTAACATAATAGCTATGACTGTACAGTTGTTTTAAACATTTTTAAAATAAATAAGTGGATTTTCTTCATTTTAAAGCAATAAATAATTTTTAAAATTCTACATACAGTAATGTAAGAGATAATTATCATACATAGTATAAAAATGTTAGAGACAGAATTGCATTTTAAGTTATAAATGGTTATATCTTTAAAATTTTAAAATTTCTGTAAAAACTTCTTCAATGTGGAAATTGTCCCTCACTCTAATCACCTACCAAGAGATAGTAAAGTGAGGTAATCTATTAACATTCATGAAAAGATGTAAAAATCATGTGAAGGACTGTAGGTCTGACTTGTTATTATACTGTAATAATAGTATGTTGGGATATACTAGAGTATATGGTTTGTTTAAAAGAGTCCTTATATTATTCCTTCAAATAAATGACATAATGGAATATTTCATTCAATGGTAAAGTTAAAATCTCTTTTGATATCAAAAATGTAATTTGTAAGGGTCTAGATAATAATTTTTAAATTACAACAACACTGAATTTTAGAAGCTGAAAGAGTCCATCAAGACACTAAAATTAACACCAACTGAAAAGAAACCTGTTGATATCAATATTGGTTGTTACAAATATAACAAACTGTTAAAGAAGAACATAACAAAATTTCTGTGAGACAATAGAAAACATTTAATTCACTGGCTTAAAAGAAAATCTGCAAAAATGTAGTACAGTTTAGTACAGAAGGAGGTTACCTGACTACTAGTCTCACTTATAGCTTCTAGGAGTTTCTCAACTGCTGCTTGTAGTCGAGAGCTAATACTCAGCATAAGTTCTTCATTTTCAGGGTCTATTTCAGTTCCAGCAAAACCACTCCTCACAAGCCGTTCTGAGAGATCTGTCCCTTCTTCAGTTACTTTTGACCACATACTGTCATTTCTTGGCTTATCACTTCCAGAATAAGATGGTATAGATTCATCTGTAACTGGAATAACAGTATTTTAAAGACATTAATTACAATTAATAATCACAGTAAAAAAAATTACAAAATAAAATCAAGACCTGAAACCATGAACTACAAGGTCTTTTTTAAAGGCCTTTTAAAAACAACACAGCAATATAACAAATAGGCAAATACAGAATGTAATATTTGATAACCAAGCAGGAAGAAGAATGAGAAGGGTAATGCTATGCTAAGAAGGCTTTGCAGAAATTAATACTTGGGTTATTCAGTATTTTTTCCTTTGACAAAACCTTTAAGATTTTCTTACTCATTTTAGAGAGAGAGAGTGTGTGGACACATGTGCAAACAGTTCGAGAAGGGACAGAGGGAGAGGGAGATCTCAAGTAGACTCCTCGACTGAGTGTGGAGTCCCTATGCAGGGCTTGATCTCATGACCCACCCCCAGAGCACTACCCAAGCCAAAATTAAGAGTTGGATGCCCAGCCAACTAAGACACCCAGGTGCCCCTTTTTGCTATAGACTTTAAAACAATTTTCAATAGATATTTACTAAGTGTCCACCATGCAAGATTTACTAAGTAATGGAGACACATAGGTGGTGAGATCTGGTTCTTATCCTCAAGGACTATATGATGAGAAAATAAATACATAAATGATATGAAAAGGAAAACATAGTGCAATGGGATATTCCAGGTATATGGAAGGATAGAAGTGCTCGATTCTGTATGGAAGAGATCCTCTGACTTTTTTTTTTTTTAAGATTTATTTATTTGACAGAAAGAGTATAAGCAAGTGAAGGGATGGGGGGAGGGGAGAGGGAGAAAGGAAGAGAGAAGGAGAGAGAGAGAGAGAGAGAAGAGAGAAAGAGAGAGAGAATCCTCAGACTCCCAGCTGAGTATGGAGCCCAATTCGGGGCTTGATCCCAGGACCCAGAGATCATGACCTGAGCTGAAACCAAGAGTCGGACGCTTAACTGACTGAACCAACCAGATGCCCCACAGATCCTTTCATTTCAGAGCACACTATTGGGTAGCATCACCAGCTCAGGTTAGACAGTTAAAGGGACTAAGATCATTTTGTAGCCTGAAATTTTTGTCAGAGGTAACTACAAAGAAGTTAATAGACTGATGAGCAGTACTAATTTAACTATGGATGTATGTTTTGTATTTTTTATTTAAACAAAACGGAGTTTACATGGGCAGAGAGAGAATAAGCTTTGGAAGTATTTTTTCTAAACTGAAAATAAAAGCAGAAGTGATTCATTGCTGTCACGGTATACAGAATTCACCTGTGGCAGCATACTACAAACTAATGATGAAATGTATTGAAGAGGAATTGCCTATTCTTTTATTACATGTAGTGTATATTTCTGATCAGTAACTTAGAAAGTTAGCGAATTAATAGCAAACTTTAATTTCCAAAGTACTCAGAATATGCATTTTGATACAGTCATCCAGGAGATTTAGAGCTACTTATTAAAATGTCTCACTAAAGTAGCTGGTACCATGGAATTCTCTCAATCTCATGTATTAACAATATCAGATACAGTTTCAGATAACAAGATCTGAATGCAGTACAGTTCAATATTCACTAAGCATCTCTTCTGCACAAGACACCAGCTAAAAGATTCAAAACTGCATTCTAGGAAATGATTTTAAATATTTGCTATTACATAGTTTATTTAGTTCTTAGTGTAACAGCCAATACAATTTTCAGTTTGTATTTTTATTCTCAAAACTTAAAAACAGCCAACAACCAGACTAGTACTTACTTATATTATACCAAGTATTCAAAACTGAGTATCCTGATAGAATTAATACTTAACAAGTATTTATGAGTTCAAAAGGATCTTGGAATTCAAAATGAATTCATATAAAGTACAGCACAATGCATATTATAAAGTTACTAAACAAAATGAATGTAGTCTAGAAAATATTTTTGAAGCTTTGGAAGCAAGAAAAATTAATAGTTTGTGATTGGTGTTTAAAACTAAAAATATGTTATATAGTACCTTTAAGGAATTAATTGCATTTTAGTGACCTTTTTTTCTAATAAATACAGTGACTTTGACAAATCTGAAGAGAACAGTCTGATACGATGGGGAACCAAGGCCTTACGGGGTGAAAGTCTGTGGAGAAGTGAGGATGTGGTAGGAGGAGAGCTAAAAGAAGGTAGCTCTTATCTGAAGGCGGCTTATCTAAGTTGTGAATGGTCTTGACCTTTATAGGAATCTTGAGGTTTTGCTATAAATAATGGGGCTGATAAATGATTTTTTTAACAGGAAGGTATCAAATCTGTGAATCAGGAAGTAAACTGTGGCAATGCAGAGAAAAGGCTGAAGAAGAGACGAAGACTATTTCAATCACTTACATGAGAAGTGCCGTAAGGCAGAAAGTGGTTGGGCACAGGTCAGAGAAGATTAAATGTAAGACAAGAGAGAAAGAAAGTAGTAAAAGATGACTGGGGTTCAAGCATAGACTGTTCTTAGGTGACAGAAGAGTCATTAAGAGAAATATTTTAAAGATCAGGAGAAAGTGTATAGAGTAGGCATGAAAAGTTAAGTCTGAAGTGTTAAGGGGCTATGTAGAGAAGATGAGTCAACTTTTGGAAATTTGGTTCTGTAGAACTTTAAAAGTCATTTGTATTCAGGTGAGAGTTGAAATCCTCAAAGTGGATACATTTTGTTTCATGAGTAGTAAACAACTGCTTTTCTGTTTCAGGAAAGATGGAAGACAAACATAGTTGGAGCCTCCAATATATAATAATCTAATAGAAGAACCTGTGTGAAAAAATGTCATAGATTGGAGATGTTCCAGGAGACAAGAGAACATTTCAAAAGAAGTAGAGATGTCAGTAATGTTATTTGTCTAGAAACTCAAACAGGACAAGGGCTTGAGAAGATGCTACTGGATTTGACAACTGGGAGGTCACTGTTATCCTGAGAGAGAACAGCTATGGTACTGTAGGAACAGACACCAAGCTGGTAAAATCAAGAGCTGGTCTAATCTCTCATGGAGTTTGTCATGGTTTACCTTGAGTGGGGAGCAAAATTAAGAAGAACCAATGCACTTTGTTTTCCTTCATATTATGAAGATATCAGCATGCTTTGGGAAAGAAAAGAAATCAGTGGTGAGGAAAAAAAAATTAAAGATATAGTATACTGCATGGGAACAAACCTCAAGCACAAACTACAAAAGATACATAAAACAAAATGACTTACAAAAAGCCACTGAAAGTTAACTTTTTCAAATGCTAATGAAAAAACATAAAGTATCTAGAAAAGGTGAAGATGTCAACCAGCTTAATGTATTTTATTGGTAACATTTTGAAGATACAAACAAATGAAAATAATTCAAATTAGTTCCAATAAAGAAAAAGAACTTTTGTTGTTGTTGTTTATTCCAATGACATAAAAGAATGAGAAAGACATCAAGGTTATGTTGTATTTATAATAATTCGTCTCTGGGGGAAATATCAGAGGAAAACAAACTGGCAGGGCAATTTCATAAAATGACAATAGAAATCTCAAAAGGGCCAGTTTGGTGAAGACTCATGATTTCAGATTGGTGAACCGCTCAGATCTGTGTCTTAAACACAGCAGATGATGGTTATTCAAAGTCCTTTAGCCATTTACTTTATGGATTTATACCACATTCATTTTGTATCTTACCAGATTAAGCAGGGTAGGTGATACAGTAGAGCATCCCTTACCCTAACAGCCTTCTGAAGATCTCTAGAGCTTCAACTAGAAACCACTGATTCTCCTTTGCCTCTTATACCTGACAGATGAGTTAACTGAACAAAAGTCCTGGGAGACTGAGATTTGCCTAAAGTTGTAGAGAGCTAGAATAAGAATCAACGGTCTTCTAATTACTAATCCAACACTCTTTCTATCACACCCTCTTACTCTAAAATGAAGCTGCAGCAGATGAGATTGAGGGCCTAAATGAGATGAAGTGGTCGAGGAGGTCTCTGAGCTAGCAGCATTAAAGAGTGTTCTAGGAAAAAGCTACTGTTGGTTATAGACATTTGGCCTTTATCCTAGAAACAACAGGAATATTTAAGATATGCAGTCATTGAGGACATTGGAAGGTTGGGGTACAGGTCCTGAAGGCAGTTTCCCAGAAAGTATTCACATACTTTAGATCCTTTCTGGAGAGTGGAAGGCCTCGCAAGGGAGTCAGCCTAGCAAGAAGCACACTCATGTCAACGGTTAGGTGCTGATGTCACCTTCCTTTACGATTTAAAAAATGTAGTAACTTCATTGATTTTCCTATTACAAAACAGAGGTACGTATTCTATCACTGAGCCATCACAGAAGAGATCTCAAAGAAATTTTCTTTCAACACATCCTACAGGAATTTATTGTTATGAACTACTTTAATATTCACTCAAGTTCAAGTAATTTCATATTTGCTCAAAATCTCCCTTTAATTTCATAAACTAGGTTAATTCTTATGAGGAAGCAAACATTAGCAAATCAATTATTTACTTTTTTAGAGAGTTAGCAAGTCTGTACATGCTTAAAATTGAAACAAGTTTGGACTCGAAAGCTGAAGATAGACTACAAGTGTTACTAACTACAATAAAAAGTCATATATAAAAACTGAAAAGCAAATGTTACTTCATCATCAGATTAAGACTGCACTTTTTCTGTGGTATTAAATAAGACATAAAAGAAGTATTTCAAAAGCTCCTTTTAGTTTTTACAATAGGCTCCATGAAAAATATGAATGATCAGAAAAATTACTAGAAATAGAATAGTGTCAATTTTTAAGCCAATTTTATCAGAAAATTCAAAGTTTTAAATGATAAATTCTATAAATCCAATATTCCTTCAAGATACAAAATGGATTTGTATAGGTCCTCAAATGATATTAGTGGTCATCCTAATTAGTCTGATAAACACATTTACAGTAAGACCAAGAAAGTATTACTTAATTCTTTTCTATACATCAAGATCTACATGAAGAAATAAAATAGCCCTTGATTGAGAGCTTAAACAGACAGTGAAGTTAATTTGAAAAAATACTTCCACAAAGTTTGAAAAGAATGAAATTGAAAAAAAAAGTTTAAAAATTCAGTATCATTTCAGTTCTCATTTTATTAAAATAGGCATTTTTAAAAAGATTTATTTATTTATTTTAGAGGGGGAAAGAGCGAGAGAGAAAGAGAGAGAGAGCATAAGCAAGAGGGGGAGAGGGGAAGGGAGAGAGAAACTCAAGCAGACTCTGGTGAGCAGGGAGAGCCTGGTCCAAGGCTTGATCACATGACCCTGAGATTATGACCTGAGCCAAAACCAAGAACTGGATGCTCAACTGGACTGCACCACCCAGGAGCTCCAAGAGGTTTTTAAAAAAATTATCTCTGTACTCAACTGAAGCAGTGTTAATTACAATTCCAAATCAAGCTTTTCTCTGCACTTGGAAACATACTACTGGCCAACTTGTAATTAGGTAAACCTTCTGTAAGTAGGATAATTTCTTCTCATTTCTCCACATGAAATATAAACATAATGCTGTTCTCAAAGACTCCAAATACTGGCATTTTCAGAAGGTTGGCCTCTAACTGGGGAGAAATACTTGGGTGTGAAATGATAGTAAAATGTGGACTTGATCTGCTGATCCAAGAGCCCAGACCCTTTTTTTCCCCATTATTGACAAAAACTTTCTTACTTTTGATTGCCTGATTCCCTCACCAACAAGGAATTAAAAAACGAGAGTGGATGTCAGCAGTGTGAAAATAAGAAATCCAAAGAGCCTACCCCAAATAGCTAGAAGGAGAGAGAATTAGGAAAAGAGCTATGTCACATCAGGATCTAAGCTCTAGCTCTATACATATTGTCATACTTCAAACCATTTTTCTGAAAGAAAGAAAGGAACTAGCAGAGGATAGTCTAAATAAAGATCAAATCTTGGGTTTCTTATCAAGACTTTCTTATGACCATCTCAACAGGTATGTGAAACTGATGCTTGATTCTGAAAAATTCTTTATTTCTAATTTTATAGGGTAGTTTCAGGATGCTGCCAATACCTCATGGATATTGATAAGAGTCCTGAGAAGTGATATGGAATTTTTATTTTATGGTTATACAGCAAAGTAGTTAACCCTGAGTATGTACAACAACAACTACAAGACACCCACTGCAAATGCAACATAATAATGGCATTCTGAGAAGGGTGGCTCCAAATATTTGTGTCTGAAGATCTTTTTGTTGGAAAAAAACTTTAATATTCTCTTCTGTATTTTCAACATGTAGCAAACTGCCTTGAACTCAGAAAGATTTATTGAAGATAATGATGATGGTCTCAACAGCATATAAAACTAGTACCTCTTGTATGTTCCTCATGGATACATGACTTTATAGGTGTCTCTGCTTCTGACCTCCAAATCAAGCTGGCAGATGACGGGACCTTACTAGATCTATCTAGAATACCAAGAACATGGCGACCAATTGTTTCTTCAACAGCTGCTGTTGTCTTTACAACTTCTAAGAGGATCTTTAGAAGTCTGTTATTAGCTTTTTGGAGTGCAAATCTGTATAGATAAAGAAACATTTATTAAAATGCTTAATCTTTCTGAAGCAAATACTTTATGTCCCACAAAAAATGTACCACAAAATATTTGACTTGAAAAATATCATACGATCCTCTCTACCAAAAAAATAAGCAATTGCATACAATTAAGTGCTTTTGTTTTTTTATTTAATGCTTACAATATAAAACTTGTTTTCATTTAAAAAATTTTGGTCCCTCAGTAAACTATAACATTTTTTTACACATGGGCAGTACTTTACTGACCTTAAAGAAATCAAATAACTAAAGTTTTAAGACAGTAAATTTTCTAAATTACAAGAAAATTTTAAGGAGATACAAAAGTTAAACTTTAAAAATTGTGCTAGGATTCAAGCATACGCAAGCTGGTAAAACATTTATGGTTCTTCTACATGTTTCACATTTAATCTTTTATGTGTCAAACAATATAATGTAAAATGTAATTTAAAAATTCCACCAGAAAAATGGGTATTTCTATAACTTACTGGTGATAATCTACTTAATTAAATTACAAAAATAGGCAGAGACCGGTTTTTAAAAAGGTCTATTGTGTAATATGACTATCTGCCAATACCAGAGGATTACAGGCCATTCTTTATTATATCTGCTCCAGAGACAGAAATTTTCTCAAGTTACATAAACCACATTTATTTCAGCCAGTAGAAGGAACCTATTTTCAACCAAATGGAATTAACAGTGTGTTTGTCTTTTTTAAAAGATGCCAAACTATCTCATTTTCAAAAAATTGGAAAATATTTCTAATCACCCACCTAAATATCTCAGCAAAAATAATCAGTGTTAACATTTTAACGTCTATCTTTCTAGTCTTCCCCTCCACCTTATAAATATATACATTTCAAAAACAAAAATGGAATTATCCAAGACAAAGAGTTTTTGTCACCTTTTTTTTCTTAACATAAACATTGTCTCATGTCAAGAAATATACTTCCATAAATTCTGATCCAGAAGACTTCTGGATAACTAAACAATTCTCTTGTCCTAATAGCTTAATTCAGTAACAGTACTACAGTGGCAAACTTTATATATAATACATATAGATAAAATAAGAGACTTTATGGTAAAGATCATCTGCCTTAAGACAATTTGCTCTCTCAACTTCACACTGCGGGAGATCACAATCAGGTTAAAAGATATCTATCTATTTTCACAGGCACATGACCTAACTATTTTAAGACAAGGTAATAAATGGACAAGTTTTCCTCCAGTATCTGTCAAGTGAAAGAGACAGTTCTATTTTTGTACCTAGATCAAGTTCTCTGCTTACATGAGGCGAGGATATTAAAAATAAAACTCTAAGTAATCTAGTTAGTAGTAAGTCAGTCAAGGGTTTTATTTAACTTTTTCCTAGGTTTTGTTCAAGCCCGAAACACCTCAGGTTTAGGACAATTTGAAAACATTTCTAAATAAGAGAAATGATTAAAATTAATATGATGGTAAAGAGAATAAGTATGAACATTTATTAGCATTTGCTGCAAAAATTCCTAAAAACTAAACACTAGTTTTAAAACTGTACCAATTAGAGATAAATAATATAAAATAAACATTTTGTTTATTTTATATTGCCATGGTAACTCTAATTTTCATACACTGTCTTTCTTGTTTGAGTTCCATACTGACTGTGTTCCATACTGATGATCCAATGGGGAAGCCAAAATCTTAGGGGCCAAATTCCTCCATGCAAGCTGAGGAAGGAGGTTAAGAGGACACAGAGGGTTGACAGTCACAGAAATTGGAAAAGGAGGAAATTAAGTTAGTAGATATTAATTTAATTTAAAATTAAAGAAATTATTTTCATTTGAACAAAACAAATTTTAAAATATTATGCTTAAAGTCCTTAATACAGGGATAATTATCATTTAATATTTAATAATATTTTTATATTAATGTCTACAAAATCTAATCAGGATAAGTTTTGTTAACATCGGATCATTAATTTATTCCTCTACATAAGTGGGATTTGGATTAAAAGTTCTCATCGGATATGCAGTAAATGAACGAAAGAAGCTAACTGTAAACTACCACACTTCATTTTCTTCCTCATCACAAGGGGGTGGCTTATACTGAATGCATGTCCATATAGTGAAGAAATACACTCACAAGTACAATTGTGTTTTTTAGGATAAAAAATGGCCTATGTGCAGAATAAAATTAATCAAGAAACGTTCAATAACCCAAGTAATGCCTTATCATTTACTGAGTTAACTACATGATCAATAGCTAAAAATTACTTTACATAAAAAAGATTTTTAAAAATTTGTCTATTTATCAAAAGTTGGTAATTCTTTAACATACAGAGTAAAATGGACAAATAAATGTACAAGGATCAAAATAAGGATAAGTAAAGTTTACCACACTGAAACAACTATTTTAATTCCCTTTAAACCGAAAAAAATACATATTTTGTATACCTTTCACTGGTCAGAATATCAGGAAGCACATCTTCAGGTTTTCTGTCTAGCTCCTTTTCTTTAAAGGTCTCTTCTTCAATTTCCTCTTGGTTTTCATTTCCATTCTGCTTAAGTGTGTGTAAAGGTAGAGAGGACAAAACAGAAAGAAAGCCTGTCATCTCGGAAACAGCATGTCATTCTTCTATACTGTTGTGAGGTGAAATAGAAACCTCTGTGGGCAAAATAGATAATCTCTGAAATAATATTTAACTACATTTTATCAAGAGATTAGCATTATCAAAAAAGATAACGCAACCTAATGCACAGATGAAAAACACTTTAATGGGTTCAAGATGATGCATGCTCTATGTGACAAGTTTGTTAGGCTGCTCTCTGGTGAAACAATAGTTGCTGCTATAGCAATGTCCTATGCAAATTACCTTAAAGGGAATGTAAAGCATCTTGACTCCACCTACCTTGCAAATAAACAATCACAAATATGTTAAGCTCAACACATATTAAAAATACATTTCACACCAACAACACAAAGACAAACAGATCCTACTGCATTGTTGATCCATTGATCCTAGGTGGGCCAAAGTCCATACTACCTGTGTTTGCGTACTGCTGTTGCGCAGCTCACAACACAGCTTCTCTCTTCCATCTAGAGACAGCTGCTTTAGTGCTTCCAGCTCCTCTAAAAGCACCCTCTCTCTCTCTGAAACCAGGTTTTCATTATCTATTGAGGATCTCTAAATAAGAAAAAAGGTCATGAGAGAATATTGTTTGCGATAGTAGGAAAAAAGCAGAAATAATTAGCAGATTTCTTTTAACCTCCTGGGACCAAAAGGCCCTTTCTACTTAGGAGTTACATCCCATGATAGGAGGTTAAAAGCACATATTAAGCTCAATGCAAAATTTGAAACTTAAAAAAGGTAATTCAAAAATCTGTGAAGCTCAATTGATATTATTTTTATACGTCAATTTTGCATTGAAAATTCAGAAGTTTAAAATCACAAAATGCTATGAAGAAAAGCAATACCAATTTTTCCAAATGATATGTTTTATGTTCAACTCCCAATCTTCCTATTCCTTTTTTGAAGGAACATATTTCAAGATTTTTTTTATTTTTTAATCTCTTGTTTAAGTTTTCAAAATAAATTGAATAAGTTTGTTTTTATAGGAACTTTTATACAAGTATTTCTTGCTTTTCCGTAATGATTTTGTGAGTATACTATATATAGCAATTGATAAGAATCCAGCTCCCAAATACCAAGGAGTAAGGAAAGGGGTAAGAATGTTATATAAATCTGCATTTCTCAAATCAAGAAGAGATGTTTCCCTGGAGGAAGTTCCAGAAACATACTACTTCAGATTTCCATTCATGATTAAAAAGACAGATTAAAGATAGATAAAGGTATACCCTGGAGATGCTAATTGGCAGACTCACAAAACTGTAAATGAATATGGGAAAAATGACTATCAATTGCACCTCAGCATAAAGAATTTCCAAAATTGCCAAAGTGCTTTCGTCATGTATGGTCAATGGAATGATTAAAAACAAACATACAAACAACCTTGTAGCAACTTTTCCAACGCCTGAAAAGGCAGATAAATAAAATGGCACAAAGGCAATGCACTCCAAGGTTGAGTCAGGTGTTCCTAACAAGATCTATCACTGTTGTGCTGATGGAGTCCATTCCTGATGTTAAATATTTGTAATTATTTAGACCTTAGCAATAATTTTGACTTTTAAAAAAAGGCTATATAAAGAATATTGTTATGTTAATTGGGGAGAAAAGGGACACTAAGTCACATACCTGGGCTAACTGTCTATTCAGTCTCTTAATTTCTTCTTGTAGCTGTTCCTGGTCTTCTCGCTGTCTCTCCATCTGGCGCATGTGTGCTTGCCTTAACAGTTCTGTTGCCTGCTGATGTTCTTGGTATTGTCGTACAAGTTCTTGCCTCATATCTTCCAACTGTTCTTCATTTAACATTAGTTGTCTAGAAGCATCCATACTTGATACCAAAATCTCATCATGGATCTATAACAGTAAAAGAAAAAAAAAAGCAATCATAAGACACTTTGTGGGAAACTGTAAGCATCAACATTATAAGTAAATATAAAAGCAATCTAATATCACAAAGTACCTGATTTTTTTATCCCCATTACTAAACTAAAACATAAATTTTAGAAAAAGATATTTGTCTTAATTATAATTCCAATTTGATGTGAGGTTAGTTTATTATCATTACACGTTATTCTCTAAAAGCAAAATAGTTGTTTAGCAGTTAGTTTAGATGCAATCTGATTCTATGGGATAAAAGAAGAACAAAGACTAAACATCCTCAGGATGCCTTCTGCTCTTAGTGAAGTTATAACTTCATTATCCCTCGATATTTTACGATGGGGAGATAAAATAAATGGAATGTTTATAACTTAAAATTAAATTTATAAAAACATGAAAAGTTTTACCTATTTATATTATGCAGTGGTCATCACAGTACTACAGAGAACTGCTTGATAAGAAACAATTTTCAATAATTTCTACTTGGAAGCAAAAGCTTTATATTCCACTTTCTCATAGTCATAAGAAATCAACTCCTTAATGAAGTTCTACAAGTGCTTCAATTCCCAAAGAGCTATTACTTAAATGAACAGCTGCTGGTAAATTAAAGGTTTTCAAATACCCAAGTTTTACACTTCATGCAGAAGTTGACAATTGTATTTGAATATGCCTCTTAAAACATAACCCATCCTGAACATTAATAAAAAATTTGAATTTAGAGAACTTTAAAACATAGGATTTACTTTCTGTTAAATGCACAGTTGTAGTATAGACACAGAATAGATCCTCCATTAATGAGTAAGTAGAGAATTAATATATACAGAATACTTTAGATTATCTTCTTAAACAGGTACTATTTCCTTATGATGTTGTTATCACATTAAATGAAGCAAATCTTTTATTCATATATACTGCTAAACTAAAGATAATTAATCTTAAATTGGCTGAAACAAAATTAATGGAGGTATAACTTACAATGAGATTTTGCCATGCACAATATGTACAAAATCAACAATACTTTGAACGAGACTTGCTTTATTTAATAATAATATTGAATCATTTATTCATATAGAAATAATAAAACATTCATAAAGTAAATTCACAAGTCAAGACTAGATTAGATACCTTCCTTCCCCATAAGGAGCATTAATTACTGGTAATATATTTCTAGTGAAGGAAGTCACATTTTTTTACACAAGGAAGCATACTTACAGGTTCTCTGACTATAAATGTTTTATCTTTGGAGAACATTTCTTCTGAAATAGTCAGTTCACGGTCCTTTGATTCTAATATATCATCAAGATTATCACTGTTTGATAACAGAACTTCTGTTCCATCTTCTCCTAACTCTTTACTAAGTGGTTTAAACTCTTCTTTAAATTTCATCTCCATCGCTTCAAAAGTTTGACCCTGTGATAATTTCACTTCATTTAAATGTTCTTGCTGACAGAAAGCATGTGCTTGTTTTGACAATGTAGTATTCTCTTTTTCCCCAGATATTCTAGATAGTTCAGTTTGTTGAGCAAATGCTATACTCATTGACACAATGACCTAAAGAAATCAAATAAACAAAAAGGATTAGATTTATAAATACTAGCAGGAATTTAAAAAGCAAATTAACCATCTAAATGGTTTTCAACTAGAAATCCTACAGATAGTGACAGATATCTCTATTTTACATGCCTTTAATATTTTCTAACTAGTGGTCAAGATGTCAAGACTAGCTTTTACTTTAATTTTCTGTCTTGAACCTCATCTGCTTGTCTCTTTGTCTCTAAATAATAAGAATGCAACACAGAAAAGAAGATTAAAAATATGAAAGAGAAGCAAAGAGATATGAAGGATAGAATGAGAATGCTCAACCAACATCTAATCATTGTTCCAGGAGGACATATTAGAGAATAATGGAAAGGGACTATTTCGTGAGTAATAGTTGAGAATACATAAGGCATCACTGCTAAGAGTCAAGAAGACCAGTGAATCTTGGAAGGACAAATAAAGAGAAAAACCCAAAAAGTTCTTAAAAGTTTCCAGAATAAAAAGATGTATTACCTATGAGGGAACAACAATTAAAATGACAAGAACTTTCCCTGAAGAAATAAGTCAGAAAACAATGAAATGTTATCTTTAAAGTTCTGACATAAAAATAACTATCAATCCAGATTTGAATGGTCCACAAAACCATCTTTCAGGAATAAAAGCAAAATAAACACATGAAATAAAAACAGAGTTTTACTTCTAGTATCTCCTAAGTAAAAGAATTTCTAAAGGATATCCCTCAAAAGGCAGAAAATGATTCTAGAAGGAAGGTCTAAGATTCAAAAAGGATTAGAGCAGTAAACTTTATTTTTGTAAGCATGTAGATAAACATTGATGGGTATAAAGCAATAATTCTATCTAAACTGTGGAATATGGGCAGCCCCGGTGGCGCAGCGGTTTAGTGCTGCCTGCAGCCCAGGGCGTGATCCTGGAGACCCCGGATCAAGTCCCACGTCAGGCTCTTTGTATGATGCCTGCTTCTCCCTCTGCCTGTGTCTCTGCCTCTCTTTCTCTGTGTCTATCATGAATAAATAAATAAAATCTTAAAAAAATAAAAAATAAAAAAAATAAACTGTGGAATAAAAAAACATAAGACAGAGACTTGTGGGCAGCCCCGGTGGCTCAGAGGTTTAGCCAGCCTTCAGCCCAGGGCGTGGTCCTAGAGACCTGGGATCAAGTCCCACATGGGGCTCCCTGCATGGAGCCTGCTTCTCCCTCTGCCTGTATCTCTGCCTCTCTCTCTCGCTCTCTCTCTCTGTCTCTCATGAATAAATAAATAAAATCTTAAAAAAAAGAGAGAGAGAGAGACTTGTAATTCCAGTTGGCATAAATTAAACCCACTGCGGCCTCTCTCCCACAACTGAAAATTGAACAAAATACAAAAGCAAGTACCAGAGAACTCTGCAAAGTAAACAAAAGCAAGCAAACTGCTGAGGACATCAAAACTTGAAGAAATCTGTATGAAGAAGGTGAAACAGAACTTGTAGCCTGTCCCTAACTGAGTTGTCTGTTAAAAAAAAAAAAAAAAAAAAAGAATTCACATTTTCGAGAATATTTTAAGACCCAGGGTTCACACAATATTCAAAATGTTCAATATACAATTCAAAATTAGATGACATACAATATGTCATGTGTCAAATTTGTTGCTAGCAGATTTGCTTTAAAAGTAATGCTAAAGGCAGTTTTTCAGGCTGAAGGGAAATAATACCAGAGGAAAACTTTGAACAACAGCAGAATGAATACTCATTCTTTTCAAGTATGCATGGAGCATTCAACCAGAACAATAAATTCAAGTAAACTTAATCACACAAGGTATCTGACCACAAATAAATTAAAAATTATACATTAACAGGAAGATACCTAAAACCCCTAAAATGTGGAAATTTTTTTTTCTTTTTTAAAATGTGGAAATTTAACAACACATTTCTAAGTAACTCACAAAACAAAGAGAATGTCACAAAAGAAATCAAGTATTTGGACTGAATGAAAATGTGTAGAATAGAGTTTAAAGGTGTGCTTAAAGGGAAACTTACAGCAGTAAAATGCATGTATTAGGAAGGAAGAAAGGTCTTTTAGGAAAACAGAAAAAGAAAGCAAATTAAACACAACGCAAGCAGAAATAAGTAAAAAATAAAGAAAAGCAATCAATTCATTAAAAATAAAACAAAAGCAATTTTTAAAAAATCCAAAAGCTGGATCCTTGAAAAAAGCAATAATACAATTTACAATTGATAAACTTCTAGCCAGAATAAGAAAGAAAAAAGTGAGATAGAAGAGATAACACACAGATCCCACAGACATTAAGTAATACAGGAATAGTATAAATAACTTCATCAACATAAATTCAAAAGTTTAGATGAAATAGACCAATTAATTCCTTGAGTGACACACTAACAAAGCTTACTCTAAAAGAAATAGGTTACCTGAACAAAACAAAATCTATTAAGGAAATTGGATTCATAGTTTAATAAAACCTGACAAGGAAAAGTCCAGGCCCTGTTGGTTTTACTAGCAAAATCTACAAAATATTTAAGAATAAAATAATACTGTGGTGCCTGGGTGACTCAGTTGGTTAAGTGTCTGACTCTTGATTTCAGCTCAGGTTATGATCTCAGGGTTAGAAGATCAAGCCCCATGTCGTGCTCTGCATTTGGCGCAGTCTGCTTTGTCCCTCTCCCTCTGCCCCTCCCCGCCTAAAGAAAATAAAGCCAATTCTACATAAATTCTTTCAGAAAACAGAAGAAGAAATATATTCCAACACTTTACAAGGCCAGCATTATCCTGATATAATAACCAAAGACATTACACGAAAACAAAACTCTGGATGATGTTCCTCATGAAAACAGACATAAATAAATATCCTTGACAGAATATTAGCAAACAGAATCCAACAATGTAAAAAGAAAGAGTATCTCCAGAGGAACACAAACAAACTCGGGGGTGATGGAAATGTTGTTTCATAACTAAACATCTGTTAAAACCCACCAAATTTTGCACTTAAAACTGAAATTTCATTTTATGTAAATTATACTCAGTAAAGATAATTACAAACAACAAAAATCTGACCATATGTTAAGGTCATAAAGGAAGCTTTTAAAATTATGAAAAATTTGTATCATGAAGATCACTTTCTTTGGACTAGAAATAGACTAGACTACAAATAATTAAAAGAACTGTATCATCTGAAAACGAAAAAGCTCAACTAAAGACTCAACTACCTTGTTATTCTCTCCTTTCCACTTCACTATCCTATCTAAATCTCACCTGTGATTACAGGTGACTCTCTGTATTCTGTCCTGTGTAAACTGAGCTTAGCTCAGGAGAAAAAAAATCCAACCAAGCTGAAGGGTCTTATTTTAAATTTGTAACTACTGCCCTTATATGACCCTTCAGGATACTAGGCAAATCTACTCAATTTCCCTTGTTTTTAACAATTTTTATTCCTCTTCCTAGACAGCCCTCTCTCCTTAAAGCTTCAAAGTCTTCTCTTCCTTTGTCACTCTCAGGTGCTGACCTTACTTCTTATTAAGTGAGAAAACAGAAGCCATCAGAAGAGAATTTCCAAAAGCTCCAACTACTGAATCTGAAAACATTCTGAATCATGAACCAAATATTCTCTGCCTTCCTTCTTGTTATTATGGATTAAAAACTGCCATGCTCCTATCTAATGGCAACCCTCTAGGGATTGCATCTCCTCTCCTTTACTCAAGGACACTGCTCCAACAATTGTTTCTCTCCTGAATTAGCTGTTTTTTTTCCTTTTTCTCCTTAATCTCTATTAACAAAGAAACATGTGATACCTTTCTTCTTAAACAGAAACAAAATAGTAACAATCAAAATCTACTGCATGACACCCTCTACCACCCTTGAACTACCACTGCATTTCTCTGCTCCTCTTTCAAGTAAAAACTCTAAATAATTCATCTCTTCATTCTTCCCTTTCATGCTCTCAAATACAATCTAATCAGTTGGTCTGCATCACCCCATCAAATGTGTTGTTGTGAAATTTATCAATGATTTCAAATTGTAAAATCCAATAATTAATTTGCAGTTCTAATCATTCTTGACATATCAGAAACCTCTGACAAAGCTTAACACACACATTGTCTTTTTGATACACTTTAAAAAAATTACTTGGCTACTGTGATGCACTCTTTTGCTTTTCCCATTACTCTAGGATCAAGCTGGGCCATCAAACGTGGTCTCTTGGACAGCGGTACCCTGGATGTCTTTGAAATGGTTTTCAATGACCTATACACTTTGGTGCTCTGCTATCTGCTTAGATGACAGATGCCTTACAGAACATATTTAAATCATCACCATTACTCCAGTAATATGACTACTTTACAAATTTCATAAGTCTTTATCATCTGCTATGTGATTTATGTAGATTAGTTCATGGAATCCTTATAAAAATTACTTATTCCTATTTTTTCCTCTTTTCACACAAAGGAAATGAACTCAGTATGCCAGGAGAGCAAGAATTTAAAGCATGGTGTATCCTATACCAAACCTCATGCTCTTAACTGCTATGATGCCCTGCTATCACATTTCACTTGAGAAATTTTTAAGAGCTAAGTGCAAGAGAAAATCTTCATTTCTCTAAAGAACTAGATAATGAGACCTATATAAGCAATGGTGCCTCACTTTTTACTCCTATCTCCAGGAACCAAACTTTTTTTTTTTAAAGATTTTTATTTATTTATTCATGAGAGACAGAGAGAGAGAGAGAGAAAGAGAGAGAGAGAGAGAGAGAGAGAGAGAGAGAGAGAGAGAGGCAGAGATACAGGCAGAGGGAGAAGCAGGCTCCATGCAGGAAAGGCCGATGTGGGACTTGATCCCGGGTCTACAGGATCAGGCCCCGGGCTGAAGGCAGCGCTAAACTGCTGAGCTACCCCGGCTGTCCCAAACCAAACATTTAGTAAAGATACAGAAGTGATTAAGTCCTGTAGCCCATATATTTTCTTGGGTGTTGACTTCTCCTAATTTATGTTAACCTAATTCCTTGCATATTTCCTCTTTACCTTATCATCCTCCTTTTTAAAAATGCATATATCCACTGGGAATGTCATATTGAACAGTTAAAATATAATAAAAAAGCAGAGAAAATCAGAATTCAACTGTTCCAATATAAGAACACAATCAGGTATATGCATTTTATTTTTTAAAGATTTATGTATTTAAGAGAGAAAAAGTCAAGAGTTTTTTATTTTTTTATTATTTTTTTAATTTTTATTTATTTATGATAGTCACACACAGAGAGAGAGAGAGAGAGAGAGAGAGAGAGAGAGAGGGAGAGAGAGAGACACAGGCAGAGGGAGAAGCAGGCTCCATGCACCCAGAGCCCGACGTGGGATTCGATCCCGGGTCTCCAGGATCGCGCCCTGGGCCAAAGGCAGGCACTAAACCGCTGCGCCACCCAGGGATCCCAAAGTCAAGAGTTTAAATAGCTCTAGGCATAGAAGCTAAAAGTATCTACAGTGATTAACATCACAGTAACTTCTCTGGGAGGAGATAGGCAAAGAAAATATATTAAAAACTAACCAACCACCTTCTATCTCATTTCCAACCATATTCCCCTCCTTTAAAGGAAGGCCAAACTCTACAAGGTACCACTCACTAGGTAACAAATTTGTAAAGACTTGTTATAGCACTCTGAAAAGTTCCTATTACTATTTCATATCAAGAAAAAAAATGTTTTTCTTAAAGAAAAATTCACAGAACAATTCCACTGAAGGGAACGGCGGTTGATATCAGTAACTGACAATTTAAAGATAAGCTATGTATAAAACTTAAAAAAATAAGTGCAGGGGTGCCTGGGTGATTCCGTCAGTGGAGCACTTGACTCTTGATCTTGGTGTCATGAGTTTGAGCCCCATGTTGGGTACAGAGACTACTTAGTTTAAAAAAAAAAAAAAGCGCAATACTGTCAATAAAATCTGTTTTTTGAAGGCTCAAAGGGAATATAAACCACAATAATTTGACAAACTATAAACTTACCTTAGCTACTTCTTCTTCTAATCGTTCTTGGTACTGTTTTTCCAGCAACTTAACCACGTTTGTTTCCTCTTTCACTCCAAAGTCATTAGAAAACTAAATTAAAAAGCAAAATATAACATACTTGTTTATACTATTTATACATCATTTATTTTTAAACTTCTACTCTCAGATATCCTCAAAAGATCAATATTTCTTAGAAAACTTCTGGAAAGTTTTAATAAGTAAGTTCTGGTTCTGCTTTTAATTAAAAACAATAATTCTGGTGAATAATTCTAGTGTGTAATTCTACTAAAGTACTCATAAGAAATGTACTTACTACTCTGAACCTAAAGATACTGAGAAATATATTTACATATTTATAATCACTAATACAGTTCTATGGTGCAATTAAGATAATTATATTTAAGAAGTATCTAATTTTAAGAATGTCAACAGTGACTATCTTTGCTTATGAAATTATAAGCAAATTTTATCTTCCTCTTGATATTAATAGTACCCAATTTTCTACAGATACAAATTACCTTTATAACTAGAAAAAAACCCCATAGAGTTTAAAAAATGTAAACATTCTCAGCATCAAAGCATTTCACTATCAATTATCTGAATATGCCATATAGAAGAATCAAGATGTGTAGCCAACATCTCTCCTCTGTATCTAAAATAAGAGAAAGCAATGATTTTTGTTTTCTATAGTAGTTAAATATTCGGAGTTAAGAACTAAAAATCTACTGAATGAAGATCAGGGTATTGCAGTTTTAAGTTTCAGAAAAGTGGCTATCAATTAGGAATATATGTAATTTTGAGGATAGGCAGAATGTGGTTTAGCTAGCTGGCCTACTGACAGGCTTTTATACATCATATAGCCTGTGCTGAAGGAATGCTCCTCTATTGTCCCACCATAGCATCTTGAATGATGAGGATTCCTAAACACTATTCTAGAGGTGGTCTAGCTCAACTGCCCATAGTTGGAAGAAAAATTGTTGGCAAAGGCAATGAAACTAATTTGTTACACAGTTCATGTTATACAAAACAAGACAAATTTTAAACTAGAATATACTTAAGGGGAAAGAAAACTTCTCAATTTTAACTTTGTGATTTCTATGCTATGAAAACACATTAAATTTCTTTATATATTCTCAGTTTTTTATACAAGGTATTATCTTCTTATGTTTACCTCTTAGCAACTATTAATTAGGTAATTATTACAAATGTAAAAATAACAGTTAAGAAAAATAAAATCAGTGCACACAACAGTTTAAAGATATAATACCTCTATTGTACCATCAATGTTCTGGTTTACACAACTTCCAGGATATATTGTTTTCCGGACATCAGATTCAGTAATTACCACTGAGTCAATGGAGAAACTAAACATAAATAAAACAGAGTAAAGGAATTAGAGGTGTGAGTTTTACTGTTGGTCCACATTTACAGTATGCATACAATGTGTATTAGGGCAGGGGCAACAAAGATGATAGTCAACAGTTACAGGTATTGTGACTTAAATCATATTTTTGACTAACTTTTCCATTTAAAACTAAAGTAACAATTGAATTGAATGAGAGAATATTTCAACAAATCACCATTGAATTTTATACCATTTTAATTTTTTAAAGATTTTATTTATTTATTTTTAATTAATTAATTAATTATGATAGACATAGAGAGAGAGGCAGAGACACAGGCAGAGGGAGGAGCAGGCTCCATGCCGGGAGCCCACGCGGGGCTCGATCCCGGGACTCCAGGACCGTGCCCTGGGCCAAAGGCAGGCACTAAACTGCTGAGCCACCCAGGGATCCCCAGATTTTATTTATTTATTCATGAGAGACACACAGAGAGAGAGGGAGAGACACAGGCAGAGGGAGAAGCAGGCTCCATGCAGGGAGCCCGACATGGGACTTGATCCCAGGGCTCCAGGATCACACCCCAGGCTGAAGGTGGCACTAAACCACTGGGCCACCGGGGCTGCCCTATACCATTTTATAAAGTGTATTACAAATATATGACATGCAGCTATTTACAGGTATAAACATTTTTTAAAAACTGACTAAAAATTTGTAAAAATCTCATTTTTATTACAAAATTATTTATACACACGGAAAAAATGTGGATGAACACATGTCAAAAGTAACAATGACTACCTCTAGTGGAACTGGGGAGCAGGGCAGGAAAAGGAAGATTTTTTTTTTTTAAAGATTTTACAAATTTATTCATGAAAGATAGAGAGAGAGAGAGAGAGAGGCAGAGACACAAGGCAGAGGGAGAAGCAGGCTCTATGCAGGGACCCCCATGTAGGACTCGATCCCAGGTCCCCAGGATCACGCCTTGAGCCAAAGGCAGGCACTAAAACCGCTGAGCCACCCAGGGATCCCCAGATTCTTAATTTATACAGTCATCTCCCCAAATTTTTTTTGTTTTTAACCTACTCATATATCTTCTGGTAGTCATATCTTTACTCTGTATTGTTTTACAAGCATTATTTTGTTAAAAAAACACTTTTTTTCTTATAATGCTTAAGTCATAAAAATAGGGTAAGATTAATATTTAGCAACCATGGGAAAAATATTCAAGTGGCAAATTATAAATTTTTTTGGCTAATACAATTTTTCACTATTTTCATGTGTACTCATGCTGCCTTCTTTTACTCTACACCTCCCCCTTGCCCACCTCCTCCTTTATCTCCTGTTCTCGTCTTTCATTCTGTCCCAAATTTGCCAGATAAAAGTTATCAACTTATTTCATAACTTACATAACTAACCCCCTACTGACAGGTATTTGGTTGTTTCCAAATGTTCACTATTACAAATAATGGGATAGTCTAAACCCTCAAAAATCTACCTGGCACACATCTGTGGACTTTCTGTATGATAAATCTTATAACTGTTGGGTTTAATATTTAAAAATTTAACATAATACCATATTCCAAAAAGTTACATTAATTTTACTCCCATAATAGTATCATTTAAGTATTTATTCAAAATTTCAGCAACACAGTTTTAAGAGTTTTAAAACTTTGTTAGAACATGTCTGTTTTGGGACACCTGGATGGCTCAGTGGTTGAGTGTCTGTCTTTGGTTCCGGTCGTGGTCCTGGGGTTCTGGGATCGGGTTTCACATCGGGCTCCCTGTGAGGAGGCTGCTTTCCCCTCTGCCTGTGTCTATGCCTCCCTCTGTGTCTCTCAGGAATAAAAATAAATAAAATCTTAAAAAAAAAGAACATGTATGTTTTTATTTTTGAGATTACATATCCTTCAACTTCTATTGGCCATGTAAGTTTCTTCTGCTGTTTACTGCCTATTCATGTTCTATGTTCACATTGAATAATTGTAGAAACATATCTCCCTTTTGTTTCTTTTCTGCCCTTTCCTGGTTCTTCTGTCTCACACTTCTGTCTGTTTCCTCATTGCTTCTTGCATATACTTATCTGATCCTTGGTTCCATGTTTTGATTCTTTTTTTCATAGCTTAGAAAACCCTCCTGATTATTTATCCAGCTATTAACACCCAAACTCTAATAAAAAATGGTATAGTCCCCAATGACTCCACTCTATAGTTTTACAGCATTTGAAAGGGTTTATCCCAAATTCAAAAAATAGTCTGGCTAAAACCAAACTCACTGTTCCCCTCTTATAATTAAGGTCCTACTCTCCACTGGCCTTACTTCTCTATTTATATTAACATACCATCATTCTCCATATACTTTAGCTTGAAAACAGGGTCATCTTTGTTTTTCCCCTTCACTTTGCCTCTCAACATTCCTTTTATCTCAGTATCTGATATTCACCCCTTCATTTCCATTTCCCCTGGAACCACTCCAGTAGGAAATTATTACAAAAATGTGCAGTGAAAGATGCCACATAGACGTTTAAATTCCAGCACTTTGGTTGTATTGCCATGTTACAATCCTTAACCACTACTACTTAAAAATTATTATTTTGTGAGTAAGTACTATTTCAATGATTAGACTGAAGTCCCTTGAGGGAAGCCATTTTTTATATATGTATCACAAGAAATAACTCTGATTCATCACCATTGCTATTAGTAGGAGTGAACATGGTGGTCAACACATCTCTTTTTGTAGGGTGAGAGAAAACTAATGCTCTTCATTGAAAGGTACTTCATTGAAAGTGTCAACACACTTCCACTGAGTATTACAGAAACTCAGAGAGGGTGGTGAGCTGACAAAAGCTCAAATCCAGTAACAGCAAAGTAAGTCTCCATTTCTAGGAAACTCCCTCCCTTTTCTTCATTCTTTAGAGAGAAAGCATAACTAAGTAAAGGAAGGCTACTTGAAATACTGTAGCTGATTATTAGAGACTTCTTGCTATCTATTTTCTTTCAAATCAGAAAACCCAAAGTAGTAGTTTCCAAATGCCAATCCATAAAATGTCTGCGTCAGAATTATCTGGTTACGAGTACAAATGTCCAGGGCTCATCTCAAAGCTACTGAGTCTGACTCTCCAAATATATAATCCAGTAATCTAATTTTAAGTATTCAAAAATCTCTGGTGTTTCTGATGCATGGCCAAGTTTAAGAGTCACTGACTTCAAATAAAATGAAAGCTATGTAAGGCTGTGCCAAGGCTGAGTAATTCCAAAGCCTACATACAAACCCTGAATAAAACAAGGGGAAACAGACTGTTTCCAAAGAAGAGTGGACATTTAGAGTTTTGCAATAAATAAAAAAATTTTGTCTTAAGGTTCCATTAATAAGTGCCTATGAAGATATCAGTCATAGAACAGCAGAGCCAGCCAAAGCTAAATTAAATCTCTGAGCATTTTATAGAGGTAGTTTAAATATTAAAGCATATTTCCCAACTAAATCATGAGGTGTTCTCTCATTCATTTAATAAATATTTATTGAACACCTACTACATAGAGGGAATTATTACAAGGTTTGGGATACATCAATGATTCAACTGGACAAAAACTCTCCAACCTTACAAAGCCTGAAGTTTTTTTATAAAAGGCAGACAACAAACAGGGTATATGTATGTATGTGTGTGTGTGTATATATATATATATATATATACACACACACACACACACGGAATATCCCATATATATATAGACTTGGTTTTTATTTTGTACATATATATACAATATATAATAATATATATAGTTTGTATGTATATATAGATATGTTTATTTTGTATATATACAGCTTTATAGATATAAATCAGATAATATTAATACAGAAAAAAATGGAAATTAGTGTACAGAGTTCTAAAGACACTTTTAATTTAAAAAGGGTCATCAGGATAGGCCTCAGGACAACATGATATTGCATAAAGACCCAAAGGAGGTGAGTGTGTTGGGCATACAAATATCTGGAGAAAGAGCATTCTAGGTAGAAGAAACAATAACGAGAAGACCCTGAAGCAGGAGCATACTGATGGTTTGAGGATCTCAAGAAGAATGTGTGGTGTGAGAATAGTGACAGGTCAGTCAGAAATAAAGTCAAAGTGGTAATGGAACCATCATGTAGGACCTAGTAAGGCATCACAAGGATAGAAGAGCACTGGACTAACATGATCGATCTTAAATTTTAAAAGCAAATTTTAATATTTTAAAAGCAAAGTTGTGGAAATATGTTGAGAATAGACTTTAGTGGAAGAGTTAGGGTAGAAATAGGGAGATCAGTGTTGCAGTAAACTAGGTGAGCGATGATGATGGCAAGGGACTAGTGAAAAGTAGTCCAGTTTAGATGTATTTTGGAGGCAGAGATAACAGAATTTCTTGATAGTTTGGAAGTATGAAAGAAAGAAGAGTCACCCAGATAGAGATGGCTGCAGAAGGAGCAAATTTCTAGGGGAAAGTCTAGAGTTCTATTTTAGACATGGTGAATCTATTAAACAAGTGAGAAAGTCCAGCCGTAAAAGCTCACATCAAAGTTGCAAAGACCAGGCATACTATAAACAACAAATATATGCAAACTCTCTCATTTAATCTAGCAGATTAACAATAACCAGCATCTTTATAAAAGAAAAATGTAAGTAAAATCTCTATAATAGTATCTCTTTGGTTTATAAAAACATTTACTTCATACATTTCAAAGAATTATCTCCTTATTTCTTGATAATGCGACATCCCATCTCTTTCAAGCAACTTTGCTTAAGTTACATTTTCTAATGAAAATCAATCATGCTATGATTGTTACTGAGCTATAAATACTGTTGAAATTGTAAATGGATGGATACCTTGGCTGAACTGTGGACTCACTGACAGCTTGAAGCCTTTCCTGCAAACAATGGATCTCTGCTCCATAGTTTTCTTCAGTTTCTTTCAATTGTTGCTGCAAAGAGGATATGAGGTTTTCTAATTCTTGAACTTGTCCTTCAAGTTGTTTAATTTTTTCAGAATCTTGCAGAGTAGATAACTTGCTTTTATGACTGACATCTATGTTATATGAAGAGAAGAAAATACACATTTCAATACAAATTTCTTCTTGAAATACCACAATCGCTTTTTTGTGTGTGGAGATATTATTCTATCTTCTTTGAAAAAAATAATCTTTTTCTTAGTAGTAATAAGTTTCAATTTAGACTCATTTTGAGGGATGAAAAAAAATTTTGAGTGTAATTCAAGATCATTTCTTCTATCTTCATGTCTGTAGTACCTCTAAATCTACCGATACTATGTCTCTAAATTGAAAACAATTAAGAATCGCCAAACAACTGAGAGGGGATCAAAGACAGGAATAGTCCACACCTTCCACTTTGAGAATGAAAAAACCGATACTAGAGAGATTATAATGAAATGCCCAAGATCACTAGGTTGTCTCAAATTTTAAAGTAAAAAAATCAAATGATTAAACATTTGGTATAAAAACACTATACTGTGGTATACAATCAAAATTTACCAATGTCAATGTCTTGCAAACTGGTCATCTGAGAGGCTGATAAAAACTCTGTTTCCTCTTTTGGTAGGTTTCCTTCTGCAAACTTAAGTTTCACATCCTCTGTCTGCCATCCCTGAATCTGTTGAAAATAACAGAAAAGGAGTGACATATATATATGATTCAGCATTTTGAAAGCTGTATTAAAGCAGGTTTATAAATGAAAACTTTTTTATTCAAAAACACTTAGAATTGTAACATTCTGATACAAATATTTTCCCTTCCAACTTATTTGCCCATTTCTGACAGTGATTCACATTCCCTTCACAGCACTGCAATTATATATTAGTAAGTGTATTGTTTGGTCATACCCAGAAAGAAGTTCATTTTAATGTAAGGACAGAAGCTGCACAGAATTTTGGTATAAAGCTCATACAATAGGTCTTGGTCTTTGGAATTTCAACTCATATACAGTAAATTTTATGTTTATCAATACTTGATAATATAACTTTATGAATCTCTGGATATAACCTATGTACCTCCAGAAAACTGACAATTGGTATGCTGTTCTTTACACAGAAGGAAAATAATGAAAACAGATAAATCTCATTGTTTCCTTACTATTAAAATTAAGGCAGCAATTTGTCAGATGCATATGTGTAGTAACTTAGTTATTCATCAAATGCTTAATAATCATCTACTATATGACTATCACTGTGACAAGGGAAACTAAGATAAAATCAGTAAAAAAAAATGGTGTATCTGCTGTCAGAGAATTTATCAACTAGTGGGGGAAATAAAATTAAACAATTAGAGGGGCGCCTGGGTGGCTCAGTTTGACTCTTAATTTCAGCTCAGGTCACGATCTCAGGTTCTTGAGATCAAGACCCACATCAAGCTATGTGCTGGGTGTGAAGCCTGCCTGCGATTTTCTCTCTCCCTCTGCCCCCCACATCTCTCTCTTAAAAAAAAAAAGAAAACAATTAGAGAAGCACTAAACTGTAATTGACTATAAGGGCAATAACAGAAAGACTGATATGTGTGTGATTATGGAGTAAGTCAAACTTGATTTGGGGCTCAATCGTTCTGGGCAAAGACTAGCTCTAAAAGGCTAAAAGGAAGAAATAGTAAGCATCTGTGAAAGGATGGCCTATCCTATAACTACTGAAGACAGTGATCTTCTTGAGAGGGGTTTAATTTGGATACGGATGGGAGAAGAATGCTACATAAATAAGAAAGATCTAGAGTACAAAGTACTTTAAGAGCAAGGGGAGAGTCTGGATTTGCTATACTAGATGAACAAAATATACCACTGAAAGCAGGTGAGCAACAGAGTAAAAGCTATTTCTGATGAAGGCTGTTTCATTTGATTACTCCTCTTATGAAGTCCTCTACCCCATGCCTAACCCCTAAGTACATTTCAACAGAGAACCTTGCCTTTTACTTCCCAAAGCAAACAAAGCCCATCAAGTAAATTCTCCACTTTCCAGCCTAACCTTTCTATCCCTTCACTTAATTCATTCACAAAACATTTATTAAGCCTTTATCATGCACTCAACCAAGCACCATGCTAAGAAAAGGAAATACAAATTATTTTAAGATTTGTGTGGAATCAGAAAAGACCCTGAATAGCCAGGGGAATTTTAAAAAAGAAAACCATAGCTGGGGGCATCACATTGCCAGATTTCAGGTTGTACTACAAAGCTGTGGTCATCAAGACAGTGTGGTACTGGCACAAAAACAGACACATAGATCAATGGAACAGAATAGAGAACCCAGAAGTGGACCCTCAACTTTATGGTCAACTAATATTCGACAAAGCAGGAAAGACTATCCGCTGGAAGAAAGACAGCCTCTTCAATAAATGGTGCTGGGAAAATTGGATATCCACATGCAGAAGAATGAAACTAGACCACTCTCTTGCACCATACACAAAGATAAACTCAAAATGGATGAAAGATCTAAATGTGAGACAAGATTCCATCAAAATCCTAGAGGAGAACACAGGCAACACCCTTTTTGAACTCGGCCACAGTAACTTCTTGCAAGATACATCCACGAAGGCAAAAGAAACAAAAGCAAAAATGAACTTTTGGGACTTCATCAAGATAAGAAGCTTTTGCACAGCAAAGGATACAGTCAACAAAACTAAAAGACAACCTACAGAATGGGAGAAGATATTTGCAAATGACATATCAGATAAAGGACTAGTTTCCAAAATCTATAAAGAACTTATTAAACTGAACACCCAAGAAACAAACAATCCAATCATGAAATGGGCAAAAGACATGAACAGAAATCTCACAGAGGAAGACATAGACATGGCCAACACGCACGTGAGAAAATGCTCTGCATCACTTGCCATCAGGGAAATACAAATCAAAACCACAATGAGATACCACCTCACACCAGTGAGAATGGGGAAAATTAACAAGGCAGGAAACCACAAATGTTGGAGAGGATGTGAAGAAAGGGGAATCCTCCTGCACTGTTGGTGGGAATGTGAAATGGTGCAGCCACTCTGGAAAACTGTGTGGAGGTTCCTCAAAGAGTTAAAAATAGATCTGCCCTACAACCCAGCAATTGCACTGTTAGGGATTTACCCCAAAGATACAGATGAAATGAAACGCCGGGACACCTGCACCCCGATGTTTCTAGCAGCAATGTCCACAACAGCCAAACTGTGGAAGGAGCCTCAGTGTCCATCGAAAGATGAATGGATGAAGAAGATGTGGTTTATGTATACAATGGAATATTACTCAGCCATTAGAAACGACAAATACCCACCATTTGCTTCAACGTGGATGGAACTGGAGGGTATTATGCTGAGTGAAATAAGTCAATCGGAGAAGGACAAACATTGTATGTTCTCATTCATTTGGGGAATATAAATAATAGTGAAAGGGAATAGAAGGGAAGGGAGAAGAAATGGGTAGGAAATATCAGAAAGGGAAACAGAACATAAAGACTCCTAACTCTGGGAAACGAACTAGGGGTGGTGGAAGGGGAGGAGGGTGGGGGATGGGGGTAAATGGGTGATGGGCACTGAGGGGGGCACTTGACGGGATGAGCACTGGGTGTTATTCTGTATGTTGGCAAACTGAACAACAATAAAAAATAAATTTATTATTTAAAAAAAATAAAGAGAAGCCTCCCTCATTCTGAAGGGTTTAAAATCTAGGAAAAGAGCAAACAAATAATTATATAACAGATGGAAGTTTGTACAAGAAGCTGTGGGAACAGGAAAAAAAAAAAACAGGGATCATGGAATATTTAAAATGATGTTAAAAGATAAGCACATTAAACAAAGGTCTGTACAGATGCTAAGAAAATGGAGGAAGTAATGCTGAAATCTAGAAAGATAAAGAGGACACAAAGGAAATAACACTTTAACAAACTGGAGGAACAAGTAGGAACACACCAAGCAGACTAGAGGTACATATGCAGTGTCAGGCAGAAAAAATAACGTGCAAAAGAGTTCAGGGGTATGAAAGATCAGGTGCGTTTGGGAAACTCTAAGTATTTCAGCAGGGCTAAAATGAGGAGGAGGATTAGAAGATGAAGCTAACAGGTTAGGCAGTGATGTAGTGCCATGTGATCCCAATCAACCTCTGTGATGCCTCTGTGGTTGTAGCTACCTTACTGGGTTAAAATGTGAAATTCAGGTTTTTTTTTTTTTTTTTTTCTGGAGAGAATTAAAGAAGTTAGTGTGGTTGTTTGTGTTCCAGAGTAAGCCTCCCACATTCTGACATTGGGAAAGGAAGGTGTGTGTCTCATCAAAGCCAGTTGTTGCCTACTCACTGCCCTACAAGGAAGGAGGCACAATGACAAATCACTCACTCACAAATCTGTCACTGTGGATTACTTAGTATAAGCCTTCCTACACTATTTAATAGTTTCAACTGTGTACTACCATAGGAAAAGCAACATTTTCTAAAGAAGGAAAACAAAGAAGAAAACAGAAAGGAAATCTGACAATTAAGAATTCACTGCTATTAACTAACTTGAATTTAAGTAAAAACTTGGGGCAGGCGGGAGGGGAGGAGAATTCACCACTGACTTTTGCCAAAAAAAGACTGGTGAAGTAGAAGTTGAAAGCTTGCTTACAACAGGTAGAAGAGAAGAGATGAGAGATTTCTGGCTATAATCTATTCTTTCTTTTAAAGAAGAGGACAATGAAGAAGAAAGAGAACCACAAAGGAAGATGAGGGATTGAGGACCAGTCATGTTCTAAATAAGAGAGACATGAGGAATTTACAGGAGAAAGGACAGAAACACAGAAAAACAGACAAAGGAACTGAAATCACAAAAGAGAGGAAAGGGACAAATTATCAATCTTAGAGGAGGTAGAAGGGGATACTAACAAAAGCACAGGAAATAAAATAATATTGGTTATGAAAAGGAATAACATCTCAGACAGAAGGAAAATAAATTAGGGTATTCACAGATTTAAAGAAATCCATATGGGGGGCACCTGGGTGGCTCAGTCGGTTAAGCGTCTGCCTTCAGTTCAGGTCATGACCCCAGGGGTCCTGGGATTGAGTCCCACATCTGGCTCCCTGCTCAGCAGGGAGCCTTGCTTCTCCCTCCTCCCCCTGTGTGAGCAAGCTCTCGCTCTCTCAAACAAATAAATAAAATCTTAAAAAAAGAGAGAGAGAAATAACATATGGTCTGGAGGCAGTAGGCTGAGATAATTTATAATTGATAGCTCTGATACAGAGAAATATCATATAAGGTGAACTGCAAAGAATAAAGGGGAGTATGACTTGAGGAAAGTAGTCAAGTTGGGAAATATCTACTGAAGGGACTATGAGAGGATAAATGAACTGTCAAGCAAAAAAAAAAAAAAAAAAAAAAGAACTGTCAAGCAATTCAGAGGGTCCAGCTGATATCAGACCATGATTATGCAGTGTCAGACCACATCTGCATCTAATTTTCTTAGCAGCCCTCAGAAGTCCATGTATGAGTACAGAAGAAGGGTCCCTGGATGCAGGGTGAGGGCAGCAAAAAAACCCAAAAAATCCATGGAAATGGTATGGAATTGGTAAGGAAATGGTATGAATTCTCAATAGGGTTCAACACTTTGGCTATAAAGGTAAATAGAAAAGTAATTATTGTAGGGAAATGTAGAGTTAATGAAGGATTTTTCTGTATCCACCTGCCCTCCTACAAAGTTATCTGCAGGATACTAGGATAGTTTACAAGTTTTAGAAAAGGCAGGATAAAGTTTGCTTGATTACACAGGGAAGAAAAAAGAGAAAAGGAATGAGAGAAGGGAGAAGGAGAAATGGGGGGGGGGAGAAAAAGACAAATGAGAATTTTAGCCAGATCATTCCTTATCACCAATAGAACTTTCGCTCCCTGTCAGTTAAATCTCAAATCCACTCAATATAATGACATCAAAAATATCACAAATAGGGATCCCTGGGTGGCGCAGCTGTTTGGCACCTGCCTTTGGCCCAGGGCGCGATCCTGGAGACCCGGGATCAAATCCCACATCGGGCTCCCGGTGCATGGAGTCTGCTTCTCCCTCTGCCTGTGTCTCTGCCTCTCTCTCTCTGTGACTATCATAAATAAATAAAAATTAAAAAAAATATCACAAATAGACATGGAGCTTCTTCCAGATTTCTTCTCTACAACATGAAGATTACAATGCTTATCTTTGCCAATATATGCTGTTTATTTTCCTGATGTAGTTATACTGTGACATCTATACTCTTACTGAGTTTTACAGGCACACAGTTCTAAAATAACCACTTGAAAGAAATTTGACATATGTAACACTGTGTGTTAAGCTAATTAGCTATGTTCTAAACTACACTACTTCCATTTTTCTCTAAAACAGACACACCCATGACTTTAAAACTGCTATATATAAAAAATTAAATACAACTGTTTCACCAAGTTTACAATCTGACATTTTATATTTATTTTAGTTTATTAGAATTTCCAAAAATCTCTAAAGGGGGAAATAAGTATTCAACTGGCAGAAATTCCTTTAGCTAACTGATAGTATAAATATATCACTTTTCTCTCATCTTGATCATGTTCACTTATTTTAGAAGTTCTTGGTTGATGAAGAAGCTTACAAAACAACACATAATACAATAAATGACAACACATTTTCCATTTCACAGACCTTACTTAATCGTGTTTGAAGTACCAAGAGTTTGTTGTATTCTTCTGTTACTTTGTTGAGAAGAGTTTGCATATTTTCTTGAAAATCTAGGTGATAAATAATTATAATATCATTTTATAGTTAAAGTTTGTTTTTTTTCAATTAGTATCATTTATCTATTCATAACTTTAGAAAATTGCCTGCTACAAGTAAACTTCATATAGTTACCAAAAATTGCAATCTTATTGATGTAAAAGACCTGCTATAAAGATAACTCGACAATTTCACATTATTATATGTTAATTTCTTTTGGTATTCATTAATTTGTATACATTTTGTTCAATATTCACATAAATGGACAGGGGTAGAAAATATTTTACCTCTGAAAAAAATTACCAAAAAATTAAGTGAGATCATAATTTGTAAAAATAAACTAACATAGGATCCTTATTAAGAAAGATAATTTTAGGTCTTCTTCTACTTAAAAAAAAAAAAATCAGAGCTGCCTGGATGGCTCAGCGATTTAGAGCCGCCTTCAGCTCAGGCCCTGATCCTGGAGACCCAGGATCGAGTCCCATGTCGGGCTCCCTGCATGGAGTCTGCTTCTTCCTCTGCCTGTGTCTCTGCCTCTCTCTGTGTCTCTCATGAATAAATAAATAGAATCTTTAAAAAAAAAATCATTGACATATATGTATTCAAAATACTATAACTTTCAAAGGTTTGGATCTATGGTGTAAAATTAAGGAAAAAATTATGAACAAGGAAATATATGGGAGTAGAGGAATAAAGGATAAAAAAGGAAACCTGTGGACATCTTTGGTTCTTTATGTTGCAATTACTGCATTATAAAAATAAAAATCTGTATTAAATATAAGATTTCACAAATCCAAAAAGATATTAAGTAACTGAATCATGATTAAAAGTAAAAGTTTACCATTAACTGATTTAGGAAGATAATGTGGTCAGATTTTATTACCTTGAACTTCATATTTATAATCTTGCAATTCTAGTTCTTGATTTTCAGAAGTGTGAAGACCAGAACTCTCTCTCTCTTCTACATTTACTTCACATTTTAAAGCAGGAGTATAATGTTCACCAAGGACATTGCAAAAAGTCTATTAACAAAAATTAGGTATTTTACAGAATTAAAATTTTGATATCTGCCTTTGAAAAATCATTAAACATTTTCCTAGCTGCAAAAGACAGTCAACACTCATTCTTTCATACACCCTATCAGTCTGCAAAAGGAATAGTCAAGTCTAAATCTTTATATAGGAATGAAAGTCGTCTTACATTGGAAAATATTGACAATCTTAATTGCACAAAACTATTTTTTCTGCTTCTAATAACAAATATAGCTTGTACTTTAATCTGCCGTTTTATAGCTTGGATCCTAGATTGACGTTATCTCTGTAACATTAACTACAAAAAAAACACCAGAAGACAAGAATAGAAGTTAAAAATGATGGCTAGGGACGCCTGGCTGGCTCAGCTTGTAGAGTATATGCCTCTTGATCTCAGGGTCATGAGCTCAAGCCCCATGCTGGGCATAGAGCTTATTTAAAAAAAAAAAAAAACAAGGGTGATTAGAAAGTTGTCTATAAATTCTGTAGAAATTTATATGGAAGCGCCTGGGTGGCTCAGTTGGTTAAATATTTTGGCTCAGGTCATGGTATCAGGGTAGTGAATATGGAGCCCCAAGTTGGGCTCCACACTCAGTAGCAAGTCTACTAAGATTCTCTCCCTCTCCCTCTGCCCCTCCCCTGGCTTCACGCACTCACCTGCTCTCTCAAATAAATCTTTAAAAAATATATATATATATATGACATAGATTACATTCATACAATTTTCTGTAACACAAGAATCATACTCTGTGCTTTATACATACAAACTAAAAATATTTGACACATTATCCTGGCTTTTCTCCTGAACAAACAATTCCACCATCATTTAAAAACAATGCATGATCCATAATCATTTCAGAAGCCCTCAAAAGAAGTTTTACCTTTGCCCTGCACACAACTGGAAACAATTTCTAGGCTTAAAAACCAAATCATTTATTAATGCTGTTTCTTAGATTTGCTTAAAAGTTAAACTATACTGTCAATTAATAGAGTTTATTAAATTTTCAGCACAGTTCTGATAAGATGGAATTTTATCACATTAAAGCTGGTAGAAATCTCATCTACAGATGAAGAAATGGACTCAAAAAGATGAATTAGCCAATCCATGGCCACATCAACAATTAGTGACAAAACCAAGTTTTGTGAAGAACCCTGAAGGACCCCTGTATTAGAACAAGCTGGTTAATATTTCATATTGAGATTAGGGATCAGGTAAAGACAATAACAAAAGGAAAGAACATTCAATGTCAGTTTGTAATTGAACTTCTATGTAGGCCCTCTTTCCATTATTTACTATCAGTAATAGATATGAAAGGACAATGCCTGCACCTTCTGGCAGAGGTAGTCAGATGGAGACCGCTGAGTACATGAATGAAGACAGGCCTTAGGTATGGTTATTCCTCACTTTTTGAGTTTTTTTCCAATATATTTTTTCAACGATATTATAGAAAATCAGAATCAGGAGTGCCTGGATGACTTAGTTGGTTAAACATCCAACTCTTGGTTCTGGCTCAGGTCATAATCAGAGGATCTTAAGATCAGGTCCCATATTGGGGTCTGTGCTCAGTGCAGAGTCTGCTCAAGATTCTCCCCCCACCCCACTAGCTCTCTCACTCTAAATAAATCAAATCTTAAAAGAAAAAAATCAGTAAAGTAGCTCTACCTGTCCCAACGAATGCCACCTTCCTGACCCTTCAATTTATAAATACAAAAGCCTAGTACAGAGATCAAGGACAAGACAAAACATTTATTTTTTGAGCTATTTGAAATATGCAGAAAAAGTAATCTACCTTAAACAAACAGTAATATTTCATAACATTATCTCCATATTTTTTTAAAGAAATTGAACATCACAGAGAGACTTGAAGCTCTCTATTTTAAGTACTGCTTACCCATTTTATTCACCTTTCCCTCCGTCCAGAGGTAATACAGGCTTTATACGTTTTTCTTCTGAGATTTATTGATATTAGCACAGATATCAAACACTGCTAAATAAAGATCGACTGCATGGAGGTAACACAATTTATTTATTACCATTACTGACAGAAATCTGAGTTGTTTCCTATTTTCAACTTAAAGATACTAGCATGAACAGATGTAGTTGTGCACAAATGCTTGGACTATGGGATGTATACATCTTTAAAAAGGGACCTTGCCAATCTGCTTCTCAAAGTAGTACTTTCCCCACTTGCAGTGTCTAAGAGCTTCTATTTCACTCCGTCTTCACAATTATACCTGGTATAACTGGTCTTGTGCAACCTCCCCAGATAAGTCATCAGATACACTCAACCACCAAGCAGCCAGGGGCAGGAAACAGACCTGTCTGGGGTTCTATTGGTCTACTCTTTTTTGTTGTTGTAGGTATAGCTTTTGTCTGTTCTACTGCTAAGATAATTTACCTCAATTTCTTTTGTTTCAAAAGATTATCAGGAAACATTTAAGTGCTCATTTTAAACTTAAAAACTCAGGAATATTTTCTAAGTGCAGTTCTGAAATATAGCATTTCTTGTTTGAAAGTACTTTTTAATTAATATCTTACCTGTGTAAAATAAGAACATTCTTCAGACACTGCCTTGCGTAGTTTTCCAATGAGCATTTGTAAAGGCTTCGCTTTACCACCTAACAGAACAGATACTGTATTAAACATTTAATTCCTGAACTTCAGTATTAAACCTATGTCAACTGGAAGCTTCCTTTACAGTAAGATTAGTTTTAAGTTCTTTATTTCTTTTAAAGTTATTTTCTACTGCTCAATGTTAACTTTCAGTTTGTAAAATTCAGTTTATATCCTACAAACTGGTATAAAGCAATGACCTACAAATTTTTTTTCCCAGTACCCAACACAAGAAATACATCATATATCATAACCTATTTATATATCCATGGAAAACCGGAACAAGAATTTCACAAACCATTATTTCCTCTTTCTACATGTTATACACTCTATTGGTATAGAGTATTTGTTCTACTGTACTCTCTCATTTAAAAAAAAAAAATGCTGGTCAGGACCCCTGGGTGGCTTAATGGTTGAGCATCTGCCTTTGGCTCAGGGGTCCCAGGATCAAGTCCTGCATTGAGCTCCCCATGGGGAGTCTGCTTCTCCCTCTGCCTGTGTCTTTGCCTCTCTATCTCTCTCATGAATAAAGAAATAAAATCTTTTTTAAAAAATGCTGGTCATTACTCACTAACTTCATCAACCATTAGTGGACTCATCAACTTGTAATTGAAAATCACTGGACAGATTCTATCTGAAGAGGATATCAATTAAAAAAAAACACGCACTTAATGTAATCTTATTACATTCAAACCCAAAGAACTCCTGAAGTGAAAAGTATAATATTCTTATTTAAGTCACTCTTTAAATTCTACCTTGTTCAACAGAACTGAACAAACTTATGAACTACCTCATTCTCAAAAGCAGATCCATCAAGGGTGAAAGCCTAGAGATGCCTTGAACAGAGGAAGTCTAGCTAATTGAGTGGTTAAATAATATTAAAGATGAAAGGTAACTGTAACTAGTCTTCTATTTCAAGTCTTTACATGTTCCTGCTTCCCAAAGTGCCATCTTAGTTCTATGGCCCACTATGCTACTGGTGATAGTGGTGCCTCTTTGGACACTTCATTCTTTTCTCTGGCCTCAAAAGATCTTTTGATTCCAAATCTTAATCTTAATCTTGAGCCCAAACCTCCCTCTTGTGTTTTATACTTCTATTTTTAACTGCCTACTAGACAAGTCTTTTTTGAAGTCAATAGGAAATTTTAACTCCATATATTCCAACCTGAATTTATTTTCCCCACAGATTTGCTCCACATCTTCTTTGTGACTAGTCACCTTCAATCCAGTTACCCAAACTAGAAACTTGGATCACTCTCAGTTTTTCTCTCCATCCTCCTCATATTAACTGCAGACTATAGCCTACCTCTTTAACTCTTAAACTTTACTGTTATAAATATTATTGTTAGCAGAATTACTGCCAAAGTTGCTTAACTCGTCTTCCCATCACTAATCACCTCCCCCACCTCATCCCATAGTGTTATCTTAAAGTAAAAATTTTACGGTTACTCCCACTACTTAAAATCCTACAGGTCTTATCACCAGTAGCATAAAGCTTACACATACTTCAGAATATATAAAGCCTTTTCTGATCAAGCTCCTGTCAATCTTTCCTGCTTTATCCCCCACTACTTTCTCACATAGCTTGAACTCTCAATTCTCCAAAATGGTGACAATCTCTCACACTTCTTTAACTCAGAAGCCTTCCCTAAAATTCCAACCTCCCTCCTCCTACCTGCTGCCTCATCCCACTCATCCTTCCAGAAAGTATGAGACTTTTCTCTATTACAGAAATTGTCCTATGCTAAGAGTTTATTTTTTAAAATATTTTATTTATTTTATTCATGAGAGACATAGAGAGAGAGAGAGGCAGAGGCATAGGCAGAGGGAGAAGCAGGCTTCTTCCAGGGAGTCTGATGCCAGACTCAATCCCAGGACCCTGGGATCACAGCCTGAGCCAAACGCAGATACTCAACCACTGAACCATGCAGGTGCCTCTCTAAGAGTTTATTTTATATTGCTTTCCCACTTGATTTTAACTACTGGGGGGGAAATGATTCAGTGATTTTAGATTTCTCAAGTACTTAAAAAAAATGTGCAAGGATTATATGAAAAAAATGAATCCAGGACTGGGGATATAGTTACCTTCTTCAATGGATGTTAAGACAAGGACAAAATTCTGGAATAGTAGGTGGGCTCTAAGTGATACTTGTTTCATAGTACTTATAGGTTTTTTTAGAAACCATTTACCTGTTTCTTGTGTTTTTATATTTTGTAGCTCTTGCTGGTGTATTTCCTGAAGTTCTTTTATCTTTTCCTCTTGGGCAGAAATAAGTTCCTCCTTAAGATTACAAAGAGCTTTATCTTTTTCATTTTCCATATATTCACGAACCTGATCCACATGTGTTGAATAAACCAGAGAGAGGCATATACGCTGAGCTTCCATCTGTAGCCTTAAATCATTCTTAAAGCAAATGTATGTACACATTAGAACATTTTTAAATGATTTAAAATTTTAAATAATATAACTTCTATTTCTTACAGATACTGACTACAAGAGGGAAATACATGAAATTATAGTTTGAAACTTCACATAAGTCTAATTTTTTTCTCACTTCATTTTGTTACATTCATCTACCTATCTTTTCAAGGAAATTAGCACAATATTGTCATTATCTCAACTTTATGGTAAATTTTGATGTATCGTATAGCTTAGTAAGGCCTCATCTTTGATTTTTGTTTAAAAATAGTATTTTAAATATAGAGAAATGCAAAGAATAATGTAACAAATACTTATGTACTCATACCCCAAATTAACAAATACAATTACTTCGTTTTGTTTTTACAAATAACAATTATTTTGTCTTTTTATTCTCATTTCTTTCCTTTCTACATACCTTTTTGGTTTAGAAAGAAAACAAAATTTAATCCACTATGTTCCCATTCTTCCTTCCCCAGAGGCATTCATTATCACAAATTTGCAACAAGTCCATTGCATTTCTTATACTATCACTTTCAATACCTATAAACATTATATTGCATGTTTCTAAGAATTTACATAAATGGTTCCAAACTGTATTTTGCAAATTGTTCTTCTCACTCAATATACTTCTAGGTCTAACCATGTAGATACAAATTAATTTAAATATGGCATAGTACTTATAAATGCATGAAAATTTGTCAACTTCCTTCTTGGAGTTTAACTGGACTATTTCTAATTTTTTGATATGTCAAAAATACTGCACTAAATTCTCAGAGATAGGTCCCTATACAAATACACTAGTGTTTCCCTAGTAGAGTGGATCTCAAACTTTAGCAGATATCAGGAATGCTTATTAAAATCAACTGCTGGATCCTTTCCCCAGGGTTTCTGGTTTAAGAGGTCTGGTGTGGGGCCCCAAATTTTGAATTTTACCCTGTTTTGAAGTGCTGCTGATACTGCTAGTCAAAGACCATACTGAGAACCACCTAGAAATGTAGCTGCTGGGTCACAGGGAATGTATATTAAATGTATTAAATTTTATAAAATTATTTTTTATATAATTATGCCAATTTACACTGATATTAACAGCATACGTGAGTATTCATCTCCCCATACTTTATTGTGGGACACATTCTGCCAGTCTGATGGGTATAAAATACTATCTTATTATTTTATCAATTTTTAGGTTTGAAAGTATCTTTTCATGTTTATTAGCCAATTAGCTTGGCTGCGAGAGTAAAGTATTTTGGGGGGGAGTTAGTATGATTTCTAAGCATATTTAGATTGCTCTGAGGTGTTACTACTGAATAAATCATCGCTCTATTTCCTCTGTGAGGTCCCCTCCACACACACATTTTACTCCCCTCTCCACCAATAAGGCGGTTTGTCTTAGTATTGACAACTGGGAAGGGACAGTTGGCAGGTTTGCCTCCCTTTACTCCTTTTATAAGTTAATTTCAAGGAGAAGGTATCTGAATGTCAATAAAAATGCCTTTAGCAGAGAAAACAAAATTCTTAGAAAATTTGACCATTCTGACAGCTTCAAATTCAGGTCCTCTTCTAACAAGGTCTTTTTTAAAAAGATAAATGATCTCTGGCATTTTTAGGAGTAATTACATTAAAACCACATTACGCTTTTGAAGAAAATTCCAGATATTTAACAAAGCATTAACAGTTATGCTATTTGAATTTTTAAATTCTATTTAGGTTATTAAAATGTAAAATAGCTTTATATTTGATATAAGATCATAAATGTGGATACACAGTCCCCAACTTACAATGGTTTGACTTAGGATTTTTTTTACTTTACAATGATGTAAAGGTGATACACACTCAGTAGAAACTATACTTCAAATTTTTAATATTAATCTTTTCCTGGGTTAAAATGCAGTATGATTCTCTCATGATGCTGTGGAGCAGCAAGGAGCCACAGCTCCCAGTCAGCTACATGATCACAAGGATGAACAAACAATAAACTTACAACCATTTTTACCATTCAAGCATTCTGTTTTTTAGTTTCTGTATTCAATAAATTACATGAGATATTTAACACTTTATTATAAAACAGGTCTTGTATTAGATGATTTTGCCCACCTGTAGGCTAATGTAAATGTTCTGAGCATGTTTAAGGTAGACTAGGTTAAGCTTTGATGTTCAGCAGGTTAAATACATTAACTTCATCTTCAACTTAAGGTATCTGAATTTACATAGGATTATTGTAATGTAACTCCATCATACGATCTGTATCTATTAGAAGTAAAAAGAGAAAACTTTCCAAAGGCTTCCTACTATATATGGAATAAAATCTCAACTTCGTACAAAGTCTGTAAGGCTCTCCAAGATCTTGTCTCTTCTCTTTTTCAAACTTTTTCTTCTGCTCTCCTGCTTTCAAACTCAGCTAAACATCTTCATTCAGTTCCTTAAACTCATCTTCACAATTGCTCTAATTTGCATGTGGTAGGCTCCCCCTTAGTCTTACAGATTTCAGTTCAAATGTCAATTCCTCCAAAAGACCTTTCCTGACCACTCTATTTAGTCCTGCCATCACCACTACCCATCATTCTCTATTACATTACCCGTTCTGTTTTCTTTAGAGGACTTATCACTACTTCTAACTACTCTACTTGTTTCCTTGTCTACTACTGTCTGCCTCCTTCACTAGAATATATTCTTGCTCTTTGAGAGCAGGAATCTTTTTTCTCTTGCTTGCTACTATACTCCTATACCTGGCTGGAAATTCAATAATCTGTTGCATAAATGAAAAACAAAGTTTGATTCAGCAGCATTACACAAGATACTTAGTGGAATTTTTCAGTTATTTCTACTATCAGTATCCAGCAAATACAATCTGTTAAAAGTATCTATTATTACTCATTATACGTATTGTTTTGTTATAGTTAGAATTAATAATTTTTGCCCTCTTCAGCTTTACACAGTACTCAGAAAACTCTAGGACTTAAGTTGGGATTTTTTTTTCAAGGAAATATAGTGTTATAACTACTTAATAACTATAAAGTACCTAAAAGTTTCAGTTAATTTTTAGTTGTGGAACTTTGAAAATATGAATATGAAACAAAATGCTGAAACCAAACTTTGAAATTTAAGCTCTTGCTTTTCCAAAGAAAGTGTGAAACCATTCCTATGTTTTTATTTCCTGAAGAGTATAACATAAATTACCTGAAAGAAAGGTGATAGCTTTTAAGGAAAACAGATAAAAGCAACAATAGCTGATAGGCCCAAATGAGAATTATATTACAGAGTTCATTTTCATTCTCTTGTAAGATTAACTGGTGTTTTAGGATGAAAATTTTTGTATGAAATGTACATTTTCACTATGCTTTAGCATTTATAATTAAGGAAACATACCTGTTCTGATTTAAGTACACTGAGTTCCCACTGAAGTTTATCATTTCTATTTGGTTCAGTTGTCCCAAGCAATGATCCATTTCTCACTAATGGAAAGTGATCCAAAAACAACTGTTCTTGCTTGCTTTCTTTTCCAACAGTTGTATTTTGAAAAGGAATTTTATATTCCTCCATTATTTTTGATTCTTCACCACAATCTTTATTTATTTTAGAAATTGACCCTCCAGAATCCTTGCTTGTTATAGTCATAACTCCATCTTTTAAAGAGTCTAACTGATCATCACACACATTTATATTTTCTGTCCTTTTATGATTAATGATGATTTCGAGCTCTCTACATCTCAATAAAACTTGCTCTTTCTCTTGCTTTAAAGACTTCACTTTTTCACTCAGAAAACTAATCTCACCATGTTTCTGTTTTAATTGTTCAGAAAGATCAGACAGTCTCTCTGACAGTTCTAACTTTTCTCGCTTGGTTACCTCAAGTTTTTCCATAAGTTCTGTTGTATCTTTCTCCACAACCTCAACAGTTTCCAATGGTTCTCCTATGTAAGTTTTGTCATCATCAAAGACTGAACTTTTCATTTTTAGTATAGTTGGATTTATTCTTTGCAAATGATGAAGCTCTTCACTAAGTGTTTTAAGCCTACTCTTATACTCTACTTCTTGTTTGTTTTTGCTGTCTTCTAAGTCAGTTTTTACCTTGAGAAGGCAAGCATAGTCCTCCTGTAACTCCTGATAGTTAACTTCAAAATTTTTTTCAGCAAATGAAAAAGTGTTCCTTTGCCTTTCAATCTCCTCAGTTAGCTGAATACATTGTTTTTTGAGGTCCTCGTTTTCCTCTGTAAGTATCTCTATATCTTTTTGCCACTTACAGTCTTGGGATTTGGACTTAATGGAGTCTATGAAAATTAATTCTTCTTGGTTAACAGGAGTATACATTTTCAACATGTCTTCAAGGGCTTTCTTCTCATCTTTAAGAATGCTATTCTCTGCTTCAAGTTGTGTAAATTTTTCTTGATGGTCATCTTCTTTTTCTTTTATTTGTTTCTCCAATAATTCAGTTTTAAGTTGTAATTCTTGAACTTCTTGTTCAAGTGTACCCTTTTCCTTTTCTTCTTGCCTAAGTATTTCAATTTCTTTTTGAAGTTCATTGATTTGAAGAGTCATTTCTTCTGATTTTGAATTCATAAGGGACTGCTGTAAATCTTTGAGTTTTGAAATTTCCAAAATTAATTGATTTTGCTTAGTTATCAAACTGTCTTTTTCAAATTGCATGGTTTCTATCTTTTGACTCATTTCATTCTGTAAGCCATCTATCTGCTGTTTGTAGTGAATGCCTAAGTTATCTTTAAGTTTCTCAATATCTATTCGATGTTCAATTTCTAAATCCTCCTTTAGTTTGGAAAGTTCTTCTTCATGACTAAATAGAAGCTGCGTCCTCAGCCTCTCTAACTCAGCTTCTTGCGATTCAGCCATTCTGTCTAATACGGCATTCTTTTCTCTTTCTAACATTTCAAGTTTTATCTTGTAATTTGTAACTTCTGCTTCATGTTTTAGTTCTAGTTCTTTTCTGTATTCAGATGCAGAAACAATCTCAGCCTTCAAATCTTCCACAGTACTAAGAGATTTATGTGCTTCACTGAGTTTATTTTCTTGTTCAGCTATTGTCTGTCTAGCTCTCTGAATCTGTTCCCTTGAAAAGCTCAATTCTTCAAAAAGATCTTTAAGCTGTCTTTGTAGAACAGACTTTTCTCCTGAAATTACTCCTAGCTCTCCCCTGAGTTTTTCCTTTTGAGAGTTAGTATCTTGCAATTTTATATTCAGTTCATTTATTGCCATATTCATTAACTTTATTTGATCTTCATTCACTGTAATACTTGGATATGATCTTAAAGCATTCTCCATTTCTCCCTTGTGTTGTATTTTAAGTTCATCTATCTGTGACATGTGTTGTTTTATTAACTCCTGTTTCATTTGTACTATCTGCTGCCCGTACATCTCATCCAGCTCTGCCCGGAGCTGTTCTAACTTTCTTTGTGCTTCTTGTTCCATTCTTTGTAGAATATCAGTTTCAAATTGGCTATCTTTATGATTTTTCTTCTGAAGTTCTTCAACTGTCCCCATTAACTGTTTTATTTCCTCAGAACACTGTCTTTCTTTTTGCTTGGAATTAGACAGCTCTAATTTCATATTTTTAATCTCTTGGTTTTTCTGTACAACCTGTTCTTGTAATTCTTCCAGTAATTTATCAGCAGCTGTGACTTTATCTGTCAGCTCTAGAGTTATTTTTTCTTCTTCTATAATCTTTGAATTTAATTCATCAATTATTGCATCTTTTTCCTGTATTTCTTTATTTGAGCTTTCTACTTTTTTATCTTGTTCCTTTAGAAAGAAAAAGATGAAAACATAAATGGCATTTTTAGTTCCTGGCAACTTACATTGCTTAACCTCAATACCAAAAGACTGGGAGAAGTCTGGTTTTGTTTTGTTTCTTCATACTTCTATAAAAAGTAACTGTAAGCCTTGCCCCTTAATTTTTCCCAAGCCAATGAGATAAGACTTGTGTACCCAACACTACAGCAGTGTTGGTCTTCCTGGAAGAAACAAATTCTTATACTGCTATGGTTAAAAGTATTAATTTCAAAATTAGCAGGATTAAAATGTCTAGACCATTACATTTTCATCTTATTAACTGATAAATATTCTAAGAGCTTAATATTTTCAATAGCTATAGTACTCTTTATAATTCTAGAAGAAAGTCTTAAAAATAAATCAAGATTCCTTCCATGTATTTTAGTGACTTGAAGGTGTTTGGTGGGCAAATGCTACGAAAATAAAACAAAAGGTTCCTATGGATCTGCCTTAACTTCATTCCTGTGGTTAAGTAAATCAGAAATTTAGGGATATCCAAAACCTAAGTGGCTAAACCCCAAATGACATGCAAGACAACTAACTACTTATGGCATATCAAGTTGATCCTAGATTTTAGGTTTGAAAAGAAATGTGAAAGCAGGACAGATATTTTCTTCCAGTTCTGACTGGGACCTCTACTTTGGAATTGTATAAAAGCCTAAACCGAAGACATAGGTCAAGGCACATCCGTAATCACAATCATTCATAAGAGTGTTAGGGCAAGAGAAGGACAAGTAGAAGCCCTAGAAACAAAGTTTTCATTGTTACTTAGTTGCCTAAGCAGTTAAAGGCTGAGGTACCAAGTACCAAGAAAGTACAATCTATTGAATAGAACAGAAAACAGTAGGTAAGTAAAATCACCTTACTGAGACAGGAGTCCCAGGCACAGAGGACTTAAAGGCACCTTGAATGAATGTATTCATGTATCTAAAGAAAAACCGTCAAAGCCCAGAGAAAGGAAAACCTCAGAGAGTTGCCAATACTCATTTCAGCACAGGCCAGGGCCTTGAGACTGAAAATTCTGATCCCTCTTGAAAACCATATCTAATGTAGAAAGCAATGTAAGGCATTGTAGCAAACAGAATTTAAGAATTTTTTTTAAGAATAAATTTATTTTTTATTGGTGTTCAATTTAGAATTTAAGAATTTCAATCCACAAGCATGACTTTCCTACTGTGAGATGATACATCAAGTTATCATAGCCTAATGCTATGGAACATTTGACTCCTCTAATATCTTTGATCTCAAGCTCACTAAATAACTTTCTATTATTATTTGACTTTTCAAATTCATTTGTCCATAGAAAGAAAATAAAATCCAATGAACTTGAAATATACAGCTCCCTGTGATAATTATTTCTCACTGTAAATTAATAATCTTATATTTAAGGTTTAAACATTAGCCTCTTCAACTTGGAAAATCTGAGCTTACTTCTGAGATAGTTCAAGTCTCAGTTGATAGAAGATAAAAACTAGACTTCTGAGTCTACAAGTCAAAGGCCAGATACTGTACTATGTAAATTAACTTGAGGCAATGAATGCCATCCTGTGAAGCCTCTTGAGCAAAATCCTATCAGCTTTTTTCTTGGTATCTCATATTCCATCCAATGTCACTAAAAATTATTACCAACTGTTGTGACTTCTGACTTTAATTTCTGTACTACAATAGGACGTTTAAGTCAGTTTACTGTCTTAAATCTCAGTGTTTTCATCTGTAAAATAAATGTAATATTTCTTCTATGTCATGGACTATGCTTGAAGCTGAAAGAAAATAAATATATTAATGTATTTAATGCTCACTGTGCTATATACAAATATAATACACATATACTAGAAAGTATCTATAAGGCATTTGGAATGTATAAGAAAGTAAAATTCATTGAGGTCAACTTCAGTTGAGTTATTAAGTAAGTAATTAGTCTTGGAATGTTAACAGTATTATAAAATCTGTAATACTTCTATTTCCTGATTTTCACTCGAGAGGAGGAACCCTCATAAGACAGTGCTGCATAATTCAAAATTGTCCAATATGTTTGATATAACTGCAAACAACAATAATTCTTCATTCACTTATTAAACAATACAAATTCATGTTTCATTTTTTCTTAGTACTGTTTATTTCAAAATATATGGTTTTAAACCATTTATTTTGTGTTGCAAAAGACAGCCCTGTGGTTAAGATACAATCCCTCTGTTTTTAGAAACAGACCTGAGGGAGTGGGGAATAACAGACTTCCTGCTTGTGATCACTGCACCATAGGAAGTTCTGAGGATTAGGGACAATGAGAATGAGGCTGGAATCACCAGTGTAGTTGCCTAGGGGACCACGGCAGTTTCAACTACCACCCTAATGCTCTAGTCACTCAGCTGCACTGATGGAACTACTACTCAGGGGGATTCATACAGAGTAATTTAAAAAAAAAAAAAGGAGAAAGAAATAAATAAATATATATATATATATACATACATACACATATATATATATGAAACAAAGAAGGCTGATGATAAAAGTATTCTGCTAACATTCAAATAAACAAAGTTTATTACCTTTATGAAAATGATTAGTTTTAAATACTTTCAAATAGTACTGCCTACTGAATATAATATAATAAATACAACAAAATTCAATTTACAAACTCTTCTGAGGCCTAGACTGTCTTTCTACACTTCCTCCTGTACAGACACACTTTCAAAGACTATTTCTAGTTAAATTATTTTTTTGCTATCCAGACCTTTTAACATATTTCAGCTTAGGTTTTTAGATACACTCCATACTTTGTCTAAAATGCCTTTCTTATCTCTACCAGTTCAGATTCATAATGTACTTATTTACCAAATGAATATTTTTTAGCTGTTAATGTGCCACACATTATGCCTATTGCTGAGAAAACATAATCATGGAGAAATTATCTCAACTTACAGACCCGTCTCAAATATCATCTCCCCCTAAAGCCCACCCCGAGTTGCTTCCCTTATGAAACCAGACCTACTGAAAACACTTTTCACCTATGTTTACCCTCGTTTTGTGCTATCTTGTGTACATGCCCTAACCATGAGTTCCAGCAAAGATAAGGGCACATCTTAGGCATGACTATCTCTTGCAAGGGCCTAGTACAAAATAGGTGTTCTGTAAACTAATAATGATTTTTAAATTATCTTGGTTGTAAAGCATACTGTTTCATAATTTCAGTATCTCAAATTTGTATGTTTCCTATTTTCCTAAAAGCATGGTCTCTGAAATCAGACTAGCTAGGTTTGAAACCTGGCTCTACCAACTTATCTCCTGTGTGATAGGCAATTTACTTCACCTTGCTTTGCCTTCATCTCTTCATCTGTAAAATGGGGATGATGATAGAACCTCTACCTCATAAGGTTACTAAAATGATTCAATGAGTTAGTATGTATAAGATGCTTTGAATATTGCCTGATACCAAGTAAAGAAAAATAAATGCTAGCTAATAATCTTATTATTATCTAAACAATATTCTTGTCTTGGTTATTTCTCAACTTCCTGCAGAAGAACTTACTAAGTTTGTAAAAAGTACCATATTATATGTACAGTTTGTCCTCACTATTCCCAGATTCCCTATATGTGAATCCATCTTGCTAAAATGTATTTGTAATTCCAAAATTGATACTCACAGTCATTTGCAGAAATGCACAGAGCAGCAAAAAATTTGAGTTGCTGGACATGCATGCTTCCAAAGCTGATGTCAAACAAGGAAACTATATTCTGACTTCATGTTTCTGCTCATTAGTAGAACATGGATGGAGAAGAGGATAGAGACAAAAGGGAGCAGTGCAATATAGCACAAGAAATATGGTTCTGGGCCAGCTGTATGGATTTGAATCATAACTCTGGCAAGTGTCAGTAGGGCAGCCTCAGGCAAGTCACTTAACACTTGTGAACTTCATTTTCCCTTTTGAAAAATAAACAATATCTACCAGGATGAGTTATTTTTAGGATTTCAGGTTATAATCTACAAGATGTGTTATGTATCTATGTATATATAAATATACTTCCTAGAATATATATATGCATGTGTATAAGCATATGTGTACATATATATGTATGTACATATATAGAATCAAATATAAATATATAAATTATGTATATTTTCCTTCTTTTTTTCCCCTATGAGCACTATTTGCTAAGTAAGTGTCCCAGGTAACTTTATAAAACATAACTACCATAAGTAGAGAATCTACTGTAGTTTCTAATTAAAATCCATAAAACTTCATTTTGTCATGAAAATATTTTCAGGATTTCATAACCACTGCTAAACTGAGTAAAAATACCTTTAGATAAAAAGAAAAAAATAGAAATTGTTTACAAATTTAGATTCTCCTAAGAACTAACTGTAACATAGGCCTATCACTTCTAAAAGAACTCAGTAATGAGTGTTATCTTAAAAACTATTATTGTGAAACTCCCAATTACTTTCAAAATAAGTTGTTTTGTATACTTAAAGAGCTTTTCTTAATTATGAAATTTTGTAATTCATGTACATAACAAAAAAAGATAAACAGTTGTAGAAAAAAAACCCTCCAATTATACAGTGGCTATACACTGGCTGACTTCCTTAAAATAAACATACCATTTCATATGCTCTAATTTTCTCTTGCAAGAAACTAATTTGCATTTTGAAGTCTTCTTTCTTTTTTTGATAATCTTCTAATAAATGATCTTGTTCTTCCAGCTGTTGCTGATGAGTGAGGATCTGTTGTTTTGCTTGTAATAAATCTGCAGCTGTGCTACTATGAGTGCTGTTTCTTAGAGTTTCACTAGCCTGTAACTTGAAAACAGAAAGAAACCCCCAAGTTAAATTCTAAAGAGATTGCACTAAGGATAGATACTTTTGGGGTATTATTCGGCTCATAATTGCTCTCTGGAAATTTGCTAGAATCACAGGCTTGAAACTCTAGCAAATATGCTGCCATGGCTTATCAGATAATTATGGGGACATTATCCAAGCTGAACCAATAAGATTATCTTTCCCATCATAGAGCAGAGAAAATAATCTAGTGAGATAGCTAAGACTAAGGCAGACATGTACAAAGAAATGGGGCCTGAATGACAGTACTTCTTGGATTCTGGATAACTTTCCAGTTTCTGATTCCAAACCATATCAGAAGCCTGATTGCATTTCCATCTTGAATTCTGTAAGATAAGCCTATATCCTTACATTATATTCCACCGTTTTTGCTTACATTATCTTAAATTATTTTCTTTACTTGCCAGCAGAAACTTTAATACAATTAGATTCTTATAGCTCTGATTAAAGGTAAAAGGAACACATTCTGTCTAATTACCATTTTAGAAACTAAAATAAAATCCATAGCAGGGTTGGCAAAGGTAGGATGTGACTACATCTTAATTTCTGCAAAATTCCACCCAATCAGACTTAAAAGATTTTGTAGGTTTTCAATAGATAGTCCAGGAAGAAGTACAGAGAAAATAACAGCAAGAAATCACAAGAGAACTAGGAGGTAAATTCTTGGTTAATTTTAACAACAGGTGTTCACTAGTTTTTCTAACATGATACATAATAATACAAATGGATTTTAAATTTAATTTGTTCTGAAAATTAGAGCACTTTAAAAAATTCTTACTAAAAATCTAATAAATTTTGTTCTATTAGTAATACTTACATGCTGGAACTGAATTTGTAATTTCTGACTCTGTTCTGTCAACTCTAAAAATTCTCTCATTGTCTCATCCTTTTCTCTTCTTGCTTGTTGTAAATTAGCAGTGAGCTGGGTTATGATGCCATCTCTTTGTTTAATGGCAGCTTCAAATTCCTGTAACTAAAAGACATCAATGAAAATAAAAAGTGCCAGGCTTATTTTTTAAACAGAATTATTACTACTGTTAATTATTCCTCAAAAATATAACTGTTAAAATGCACTGGCAGAATAATTATGATTTGTCAGTAACCTTATCCATTCTTGTCCATATTTGAAAGGTTAGCTTGCAGAAATTCGCTTTATTTCCAAATCAACTTAAAAATAATTACCTGAATGAAGGAACAAAACACACGGTCTAATTTATCTATTTATCGGTTTCTAGAAGGACAAGTGCCTTTATATTTAGGGATACCCCAATCTGTTCCTAGGCAACCTCATCAGACATATTCAATTCTCATTTGTCTCTGCAGAGGATAAAATTAAGATATATCCTGTCATCCTCATCAATGGCCTTTTCCACCTTGTTTTCATAACTAACGGCCACAAACAACAGATGTCATTTTAACCACAGTTACTTTTACAAGGACTCGCTGACATTTTTAATGAGTTTAAGGCATCATAGTCCGATGTGGTTTGCACCTTAATTTTCTCTCAGGCCGATTACAAAAACATCTATCCTACAGAAGTGATTTCTGCCTAGCTTTCTAATAAAGTTAAAAAGTTATAACAACAAATATGACTTAAAGTTACTATTTAAAAACCTCATCTTTAAAGAACATAGGTCTACTATCATTCAAATTTCCTATTTTGTCTCTGTAATAAAACAAAAGCCTCATAAAGTACACATACCTGCTGCAGTCCATCAGTCCCATAGGTGGCTCTCATTTCTTCTAGTTCTCTGTTCAGCTCTTCAATCTCATGCTGTTTGCCAGCCAATTCATTTTCCATCATCTCTAGATGGGTCTGATTGTACTGTGCTCCATGTTCAGAGTAAGAATCATCAGCACCAAATTCTTCTTCCTAAATCAATCCAAGATTTTTAATAATTCATACTAACAACACTCCTCAGGAAGAGGGATTTAAATACTGAATTCCATAGCAAAGTCCACTTTAAAGTATCACTTATCACCTGAGAGTTTACTGGAATGACAACCTACTTTGTTATTAGTGTGATATACACCTTAAAAGCAAAAACATGATATCATTAATTGTTATAATTGAGATTTATAGCAAAAAGTGCCTAATTTTGTTTTGTTAAACATTAAAAGCATTTAGAAATCACACAGAGAAAGAAGTGCATGCAGGAAAAAGCTTTGTTAGTAAGCCAGATGGTTTTAAATAGCATAAAACATTAGTATCATGAGTAGTTTTAAATACTATACCCTTAATAAATTTGTAGACTTTTCTGTTCTCACCACAAAACTGCAACCATTTACCTGTACAAAAACAATTTCCTGATATATTATGATTTTAGATAGAATTTTATTTAAAGCTAACAATTATATTTCTGCCGACTGTATTCATGTATATTTTATGCACAGGGAAAATGCTTCATTGGCAAAAATAGATACAGCAATTAAATTTAAATATATAAGAGACATTACAATCATTTAAAAGGCCAATGATTCCCAAAACATCTGAGTGTTTACAATGTGAAAGACATGGTACTATATACATTTTCGTTCAAGTGAATTAAAGTTCTAACTAAGTGCAGTTTCTATTGTGTCTTCAGAAGGATAATTATAAAGCTCAAGTTACTAAATCCTCTTCTATGAAATGCTGCCTTATAATCATTTAAATAACCTTTTTTGTATTAAGCTCTATTTACTTTACAGTAAAATTGTTTACTGGTTCGCTGAACACTGGTCAAGAAGTATGAGTATGACTCCTACGCCAACTGTCCCTGGGGAAAACAAGAGCCATGCCAACCCTGACTGATGTAGAGATTTTCCATGACATATTACTGCTTCTATCACAGACATTTGATGGGAAGAAGAGGAATGACAGAATATGTCTCCTGGGTTGACTTGGTGGGAGATTAATTTCAGATCAATTAATCTATTTAACAACTCCTCCTTCCCCCAACAGTGCGCAAAAGAACTTCATTTCTGCTTACAAGTTAATTATTCATAATTCTACATTAATAAAGTCCAAGATAATACAGTTTGTACTGTTGAAATACATAGGATAGAACATTCTAGAAAGAGGAAATGGACCACATCATTGAAAAAAGTGAAAATAGGGGAGCCTGGATGGCTCAGTCAGTATAGCATGTGACTCTTAATCTCAGGGTTATGAGCTCAAGCCTGCCCCCCTTTGGGTGTGAAGCCTACTTAAAATTAAAAAAAAAAAGTGAAGATACTACTTGGGAGTTCTGTAACAGAGCTTGATTCCTTTTTTTTCTAAGTATAATTTCTGAAAAATAAAGCAAAAAGAATTCATCTTTATGTCAACACAATATTGTAATTTGTGAAAACTATCAGAAGACAGGTGTACTAACTCTAGTACGATTATTAAGTCAATTGAAGTAACTTTCCAATTAAATCCTCTGAAATTTTAATTAGCTTTTCTTGATTCTGAAATGAAGTATTTTGATAAGCATCTACTAAAATTTTTACTTTACAGTTACAGTATAATAAAATGGATTTTATGAATATCTTCAAATATATTAAGCAAGAATATACCTTTTAAGTGGAGATTATTAATTTATCAGTTTATAATGATTGTATCTAACACATTATATAGCAACATTCAGCTTAGTTTCTCCCTAACTTAAGCAAAATTACACTTGAGAAACTCCTACATCTTAAAATACTTGATCATTTTTAAAACTTAATGTTATTATAACAAACATAAAAATCATTATTAATAAATTATAACAATTTAATACTATGTAGATAGGTAACAAAGATTATCCACCAGGACTAAACTAATACAAACTATATTCTGAAGTTAGAATAGAAATACTCAGCAGAATACTGGGATCATAAATAGTTAGCATTATTCTATTTTTTAATGTAGATAATTACTTTGTTGATACCTAAAGGCTAGAGCATTCATCCCTTCTTCATATATCAGTTTTCTAACATTATATTTTATATTTGGTAAACCTTAGTGTGAAAGTAAATTAATAACTTGAAACACAAAGATTAGATTGATAAACTCAGCTGAAGATAAGCCCAACTTCTCTTAACGTACTATTTTTACTGTGTGGCATTTGTCAAAGTTATTTAATTATTAGGCTGTACTAATATATTCTTTCTGAATTCACAGATTTATTCAATGTACGGACAACATTAAGACTTGGAAAAGTGTAAGTAAGGTATATTTTCAATTTTAAAATGTTCTGTAGAGGTAAGTATCATCTCAAAAAATACTACTATTCAGAAAAAATCAGAGCAAGATCATTTTTATAACCATAAAATGGTCTTCACACCAAAACCTTTTCCTTTCAGTAGATGTTAGTTTAAAAACATAAAAGACTAACTTACTATCAGTATCTTATCCTTATCATACTTAATTTGGTACTATATACATTCAAAATATTAATGGATATTTTAATAAAATAAGAATCTGATGAATCATAAAAGTTCATGAAAAACAGGAGTTCGGTATACCTAGGTGACTCATGGAATTGGAGCCAAGTAACTAATGAGGTTAAGATCATCCATTTAAAGTGAAAGTTGAATATCAAACACCACACTGTACACCTTAAACATATACAATTTTTAATTGTCAATTATACCTCAATAGAGCTAAGGCAGGGAGTGAGAAAAAGAAAATGAGGTAAGGTTAAAAAAAAAAAAGTCAAAGTTGGAAGGCTAATTTTATACAACTTCATGGCTATAGGCTATGTCTCCAACTCCAGCTAGTCATTTCAAAAATATCATGAATCATACAAGTGATTTGCTTAAGTAGTACTAAATAATCACATGAAATCCGTAATGAGAGTTATGCACTATTATCACCTCATCTTTCCATATTTAGCAAAGCCGATTAATTTACCTGTCATGTGTCTAGGTTACCTCCAGCATTAGCAACATTCTTCAAATGACCCTGCTTAAAGGCTATCAGTAAAAATATTTCATGTACATACAGCATTTGGATTATTAAATATCTCTTCATGCAGGACTGAAAAGATTATGTATAATTTAAATTAATCTGTAAGAAAGGCATTTTTTATTTAGTCTGATTTCTCTGGTATATGTAATTGGGTACACATTTATATAAAAGAGATCTTATTAGGTATCATAGGATAATATTATCTAATTCTTTCTAAGCCCGAATCCATTATTCAATCCAATGAGAACACCAGCCAAAGAAGTCAAGAAAATTAAGTACATATCATATCTGTGTGCATAAAATTTCCAAATTAAGTTCTAAGTAAGTAATCAGAACCTGAAATCTTTTTGAGAATAATTTGTTAAAAGAATTGTCATCACTCATTCCATTTACTTAGTGTGAAGAAATGTGTATTTCTACTGAAGAGCAGTAAAAAAAAAAAAAAAGAAAACCAAACTTTGTCAATCATCTTTTCTATGCCAAACACCATACTAAATATTATCAAATAACCCTCACAACTACACTGTGAAGTAGATACCCTGTTTTATAGGTGAAAAAACTGCAGAGTTTAAGTGATGGGCTCAAGTTGATACACTTTGGGGGTGATGAAGCTGAAGTCTGAACTAAGGCTTCAAAGCTCCTGTTGTCCTATATTACCTTACTTCCCTACATACCAGAAAAATGACAGCAATATTTAAAAAACACACAAGATAATTATGTTACCTACGATTCAAAACTAATTCTGAAATTCAAAAAAATGCTCCAATGCAAACAAGAGCAGCTAAGATTATTAAAACTTTGCAAACCTGGCATTTATAATAAAGTTACAATCTATGTATTTCCTAGATGAGATTTACCCCTCATTTTATAAATTGGGCTTACTGATGATTCTTCTGCCTCCTGAAAGTGGGACTATGGCTTAGAAGTCCCCTGTAATTCTACCTCAATTAAACCACTTTTAACACTACAGGAATAGCTAAAGCCTCAAAACTAGCCCAGAGTATCATGGATTCAACCAGTCCCCATATCAGCAGTCTTAATGAAACATTTTCAAACATTTCACAATTTTTCTACTGTTTTCTATGGACAAAGAGAATATATAACTTTGTCACAGTATAATCCATCATGAATCCAGGCCCAAAATATGTATCACAAGGGTTATGAACAAATCAGGTCAATCTGTCAAAAATTATTTCATAAGTATCTTTTTCAGTGTATAATCTTCTGTTTTTTTTCAAATTATAAATCAGTTAATCCATTTAGTTTTTGTGACCACCATTAAAAAGAAAAAGTGTTGGGATGCCTGGATGGCTCAGCGGTTAAGCATCTGCCTTTGGCTCAGGTCGTGATCCTGGAGTCCCGGAATCAAGTTCCACATGGGGCTCCTTGCATGGAGCCTGCTTCTCCCTCTGCCTGTGTCTCTGCCTCTCTCTCTGCCTCTCTCTCTGTCTCTCATGACTCAATGAATGAATGAATGAAATAATGAATGAATGAATGAATAAATAAATAAATAAATAAATAAATAAATAAATAAATAATTTTTTAAAAAAGTGTCAAAGGTCATGTCACATAGTAAACAGAAGTATGTTTCCTGAAATGTTGTTTGGAAAAAAATACATATGTATGTATAGGTATATATTTATCCATGTACATAACTACTCATGTATGTATATAACAATAATATATGTGACTACATATGCAAATATATAGAAATTACACATTTACATGTAGAATATATTTGTTTTTTTTTTAAGATTTTATTTATTTATTCATGAGAGACACAGAGAGAGAGAGAGAGAGAGAGATTTCTCCCACGCAGAGGGAGAAACAGGCTCCATGCAAGGAGCCTGACGTGGGACTCGATCCTGAGTCTCTAAGATCAGGTCCTGGACTGAAGGCGGCGCTAAACCGCTGAGCCACCCAGGCTTCTCCAAATATATTTCTTGTTGTTCAACCATGGTCAGTATATTTTAACTTCTATCTGTAGGAATTACAATTAAATATTACTTGTACCTTACTTCAAAATACATCATATTTATTAGGTATCACAGATAAATAGTTTCAATACATTCTTCTGGACCTTGTAATTCCCACCAGTTTTATAGTTTAAAAAATCAAGGCAAAAAGTAACTTCTTGTAATAAGACTTTCCAATAATATTTTCAAAGAGAACTTAAAAATCACAATCTTTTGATGTCCTTACCTTTCAAATCTGTATTAATAAAAATTAAAGTTTACTCTCTTATCCCAAAGTGAAAAAGTGGCTATATGAATTTTAATCAAATTTCACAGGCATATATGAGATGGTCTGACCTGTAACCACTTGGCTTATAAAATAATTTACCTTAGTATAAAGAAAAAAAAAGCACTTTGTG